CGTGTCACGCCTTGCTGCTGCTGCTGCTGCTGCTGCCGCTGGCGCTGCTGCTGCTGCAGCGGCTGTTGCTGCTGCTTCCTCCTCTTCCTCCTCTTCCTCCTCTGCCTCTCGCTTGACCTCCATGCTTGGAGCTGCAATTTCTGCTGCTAGATTGGGCCCGCCTTGCTCTCTGCTGCTACCGTATTCAAGCACAGCATTTTCCATCCCCACTGCATTGAAAGAACCTCCTTCTAAGCTGCCCTCATTCTCCTCTGTTACCTCATCCTCTGTTACCTCGTCATCTGTACACTCCAGCAGCATATCGAATCCCCCTACAACGCCCTCCTTTGAAGCTCTTCCAGTGCTTCCCCCAGTGCCTTCCCCAGTGCCTCCCCCAGTCCCTCCCCCACTGCCTCCCCCACTGCCGCCCCCACTGCCTCCCCCAGCGCCTCCCCCAGTTCCCTCCAGCATATCGCCACCCCCAGTAGCGCCTTCCCTTGATTCACCCTCAATGCTTCCTCCAGTGCCTTCCCCAGTGGCTCTCAGCAGCATATCGCCTCCCCCAGTAGCGCCTTCCTCCTCCACTTACACTCACACCAGGGTGAATCAATATTCCTGTTCCCCCATAACCCCTGTCCCCCCCCTTCCCATTACGTCTGCCCCCATTACCCTTGCTGCTGTCCCTCCCATTCCGTCTGCCCCCATTACCATTGTCCCTGTCCCTCCCATTCCGTCTGCCCCCATTACCCTTGCTGCTGTCCCTCCCATTCCGTCTGCCCCCATTACCATTGTCCCTGTCCCTCCCATTCCGTCTGCCCCCATTACCATTGTCCCTGTCCCTCCCATTCCGTCTGCCCCCATTACCCTTGCTGCTGTCCCTCCCATTCCGTCTGCCCCCATTACCATTGTCCCTGTCCCTCCCATTCCGTCTGCCCCCATTACCATTGTCCCTGTCCCTCCCATTCCGTCTGCCCCCATTACCCTTGCTGCTGTCCCTCCCATTCCGTCTGCCCCCATTACCATTGTCCCTGTCCCTCCCATTCCGTCTGCCCCCATTACCATTGTCCCTGTCCCTCCCATTCCGTCTGCCCCCATTACCCTTGCTGCTGTCCCTCCCATTCCGTCTGCCCCCATTACCCTTGCTGCTGTCCCTCCCATTCCGTCTGCCCCCATTACCCTTGCTGCTGTCCCTCCCATTCCGTCTGCCCCCATTACCCTTGCTGCTGTCCCTCCCATTCTTTCTGCTCCCATAACCCCTGCGCCTGCCCCCCCCATTACTCCTCCTCCCATCACCCCCCCCCCATCACCCCCCCTCCCATCACCCCCCCTCCCATCACCCCCCCTCCCATCCCCCCCTCCCATCACCCCCCCTCCCAATACTCCCCCTCCTGCCCCTGCCATTCCGCCTGCCCCCATAACCCCCATTCGTCCCGCTCCCCCCCCTCCTCCTGCTCCCATCACCCCTGCCATTCCCTGTGCCCCCATAACCCCTCCCAAACCACCCCCCATTATCCCACCCATAGCACCACCCATCACACCACTAGCACCCATCACACCACCACCACCCATCACACCAGAAGCACCCATCACACCAGCAGCAGCAACAGAAGCACCAGGGCCAAGAATTGGAAGTATATTTCTGCCTGTGGCATTATAACCCATGGAGAGAGGAGTGGGGAGAGGAGGCAACCCTTTTGCGTAATGGGCAAGAGTAGCAGCAACAGCTGCAACAACCGCAGGAGCAGCAGCAGGAGCAGCAGCAGGGGAAGCAATACGCGTAGCAGGATTAGCAGCAGCAGAAGCAGGAGCAGCAGCAGAAGCAGGAGCAGCAGCAGAAGCAGGAGCAGCAGCAGAAGCAGGAGCAGCAGCAGAAGCAGGAGCAGCAGCAGAAGCAGCAGCACCACCAGAAGCAACAGTACGAGACGCGTCGCGAGCTGCTGCTGCAAATGCAACAGCAGGGGAAACCGCAGGTGCCAAAACAGCAGGGAATGAGGCGTGATTGGACGAGCTTCCAGCCAATGGCATCGTGCCACCTGTCCCTGTGCCGCCCAGGTAAAAGGGAGCGCCCCCACGAATAACTCTCGAGTTTGCAGGTTGCTGCTGCTGTTGCTGTTTATTCTGCTGCTGAATTTGCTGTTGCTGCTGCTGATTATTATGATGCTGATATTGCTGCTGCTGCTGCTGCTGCTGCTGCTGCTGCTGCTGCTGCTGCTTCTGCTGCTGCTGCTGTTGGTCTGCCTGTGGTGGGTGCTGCAAAAACCTCTTTTGCCATTTTTCCCCAGAAACACCCCCCAAACTCTCCCCCAAGTCCCCCCCTAGACCATCCACAGAAACGTCCACCCCCCGGGTGGCGAGCTGGGACTGTATCTGCCCCATGCGCAGCTGTAGCTGCTGTGTGACATTATACTGAGCTGACTTTTGAGTCGACTCAAAAACAGGATCAGCAGAAACGTCCACCCCCCGGGTGGCGAGCTGGGACTGTATCTGCCCCATGCGCAGCTGTAGCTGCTGTGTGACATTATACTGAGCTGACTTTTGAGTCGACTCAAAAACAGGATCAGCAGAAACGTCCACCCCCCGGGTGGCGAGCTGGGACTGTATCTGCCCCATGCGCAGCTGTAGCTGCTGCAGCTGCGACTGTAGCTGGATATACTGCGTCTGATACTGCTGCAGCTGCTGTAGCAACTGAGAAGTGCGGATTTGATTCTGTATCTCGTTCTCCTCGTCTCCTTGACTCTGTTTTTGAGTCGACTCAGTATCGCGTCCTTGACTCTGCACCTTCTGCACCTTCTGCACCTTCTGTACCTTCTTCCTCTGATTCCGGTTCTTATGGGTCTTCCCCTGTGCGGATGCAAGTGCTTCTATCTGCCCGTTTTCCTGCCCCTGCGATTGAGTGGTTGTAGTGGCAACAGTGGTCCTTCCCCTCATCCCTTCCCCTACCCCTCCCCCCATCTCTCCCCCCATCGTTCCCCTCAATGTATCCCCCATTGTCACCTGGCTCTGTTGCCCCACCTGATTTTCCACCTGAACCCCAACCTGCTGTTGCAACTCCCCTTCTCCTGAAACCTCCCCTCTCGTTCCCCCCCTTCCTCTACCACTCGCTCCCCCATACCTCCCCTCCTCCTCCCCTTGCCCGTCCTCATCCCCTCTTCCCCCTCTTCCCCTTCTTCCCCCCCTCCCCCCATCTCCCTCCCCATCTCCCCTCCCCCACCCCCATCATCTTGTGGCGAGTACAAAGTGTAGAGGCTACTAACGGAGCAATTCGCCTCCCTTAGAACCTCTTCCAAGGAAAATCCAGCCATGAACAGTAGAGTAACGCCAAGCGACCTGAAGAATCTCCTGCCCACGTGGGTCAGCCCGGCAGCATCTGCCAGGTGGGCGGCGGAGCGAGCCAGGTTGCTTCGGCCAATGGGGTGGCGGGCGTAGCTGGTGGGGAGGGGGGTCGGGGAGGGGGGTAAGAGGAAGGAGGGAGGGGAGGGGTTGTGGGGAAGATGGAGGAAGAGGGAAGAAGAGGGTATTCAGAATGACCGTATGGTTCTGCTGGTTGGGGCACCTCAATAGGCATCTAGAATCGGGCTATGGATGGGTCAGCCCGGCAGCATCTGCCAGGTGGGCGGCGGAGCGGGCCAGGTTGGTTCGGCCCATGGGGTGGCGAGCGTAGCTGGTGCAGGTGGTATGTGGGGGATGGGAGGTGGAGAATGTGAGAGGGGGGAGAGAGGAACGGGGGGTAGGGGAATGGGCACATAGGTTGGGTGCACGAGCAAGCAACAGTGGAGTCACGCCAAGGCAAAACCTCCTGATAAAACTCCTGAAAAATCTCCTGCCCATGTGGGTGAGCATGTCTCACCTGTTCAGCGGCCCGAAAGATGGCACGCGGGAAAATTTCGCCGACAGAAACAGGCTCGGCGCAGCTCCGGCGGGCCGCATCCGAGCCTCCTCATCCAAGATCCGAACCGGGCACAGGATCGGGTTCTGCAGGTTCGGGAAGAACTGCTTGTGCGCGAGGCTCGGCGCGAGGCTCGGCGGCGGCACAAACGCAACATGCTCGCCCAGAAACTGCGGAGAAAGGTACTCCCCTCCCCGGTTCAGAACGACAAAATGGGAGAACTCCAGCTTGAGCAAGGCATCTAAGCCGCCGCGGACGGCGAGTGTGGCGAATACTATGAGTTTTCGCATGGTGTGGGCGATGGCGTTGGTTCGGGCGAGGGCTGGGCTTGCCATCATGCGCTGTACGTCGGATATGCAGAGCGCATGGGTGGATGATGATGATGAGCCGAGTTGCTTCCGCTTCCGCTTTCTGCTCTGCCTCGTGTCACGCCTTGCTGCTGCTGCTGCTGCTGCCGCTGGCGCTGCTGCTGCTGCAGCGGCTGTTGCTGCTGCTTCCTCCTCTTCCTCCTCTTCCTCCTCTGCCTCTCGCTTGACCTCCATGCTTGGAGCTGCAATTTCTGCTGCTAGATTGGGCCCGCCTTGCTCTCTGCTGCTACCGTATTCAAGCACAGCATTTTCCATCCCCACTGCATTGAAAGAACCTCCTTCTAAGCTGCCCTCATTCTCCTCTGTTACCTCATCCTCTGTTACCTCGTCATCTGTACACTCCAGCAGCATATCGAATCCCCCTACAACGCCCTCCTTTGAAGCTCTTCCAGTGCTTCCCCCAGTGCCTTCCCCAGTGCCTCCCCCAGTCCCTCCCCCACTGCCTCCCCCACTGCCGCCCCCACTGCCTCCCCCAGCGCCTCCCCCAGTTCCCTCCAGCATATCGCCACCCCCAGTAGCGCCTTCCCTTGATTCACCCTCAATGCTTCCTCCAGTGCCTTCCCCAGTGGCTCTCAGCAGCATATCGCCTCCCCCAGTAGCGCCTTCCTTTGCATCCGATCCAAGTTCATTCATAGAAACATCCGTTACAGGAGCACCTGTTACAGAAGAGCCTGTCACAGGAGTTCCCGTTATAAGCACATCCGTCACAGCAACAGCAGAAAGTGTTTTGGCTGCTTCAGCAGTAACACAATCTGCTTTCGCTATTGTTACTTGGTGTGACTCCTCCTCAGCATCTCCCCCCTTATTGTCACCCGTTCTAACCCCCCCTCAACTGCTTCAGCAGTCACAGCCTCTGCTTCCGCCATTGTCACTCGGTGTGACTCCTCCTCAGCAGCAACCCTCGCTATTGTCACTTCCCCTACCTCGGCTGTAACCGCCCTTCCAGCCTCCTCCTCCCCTGCTGTAACCTCCATCGCAGTAACCTCCTCCACATTTGTAGCCTCCTTCCCAGAAACCTTCTCGTCCATGGCTGTAACCTCCTTCCCAGAAACCTCCTTCACATTTGTAGCCTCCTTCCCAGAAACCTCCTTCACATTTGTGGCCCCCTTCCCAGAAACCTCCTCCACATTTGTGGCCCCCTTCCCAGAAACCTCCTCCACATTTGTAGCCTCCTTCCCAGAAATCTCCTCCTCATTTGTAACCTCCTTCCCAGAAACCTCCTCCACATTTGTAGCCTCCTTCCCAGAAACTTCCTCCACAATTGTAGCATCATTCCCAGAAACCCCCTCCGCACTTGTAGCCTCCTTCCCAGAAACCTCCTCGTCCACATTTGTGGCCTCCTTCCCAGAAACCTCCTCCACATTTGTAGCCTCCTTCCCAGTAACCTCCTCCACATTTGTAGCCTCCTTCCCAGAAACCTCCTCGTCCACACCTGTAGCCGCTTTTTCCGCCTCCTCCTCCACAGGTGTCGCTGCCTTCCCCGGCTCCTTGTGTACGGTTGTGGCCGCCTCTCCATGGTTCTGCGACGAATCAACATTGACTTCTGAGACACCTTTCAACGCGTGAGCGGTTTTAGCCTCGTTCGCCGCGTCGCCAGCGTCGCTTGGTACTCTGTCGCTACATAATCCGTCGCACTCAGGGGCGCACCCGGGTCGTTCTGTGTCCATCCCGTCGCCTCTTGTTGGCTCTGCGACCATCTCGTCGCCTCTTGTTGGCTCTGCGACCATCTCGTCGCCTGTCGCGTCAAAAGACTGCTGCTGGCTTCCTGCCATCTCCTGCCCTGCAGCTTCCGCTGTAGGCCGCGCCGTAGCGTTCTCTGTACGTTCGGCTGTAGCTTCAGCTGTAGCGTCGACGGTGGTAGGCCCCGCTTTATCGTCCGCGGAATCGTCAGCTGTAGCGCTCTCATAGGATGCATGCTGCTGCTCGTCATGACCGCTTGGATATTGATCGGACGACGCGCCGTGACGTACGCCTTCCACGTCTTTAGCCTCCGTAACGTCTTTAGTAGCGATTTCCTGAACCGCGGTTACTGGCTCTGGAGACGTCTCAAGATTAGTGGCATCCTCTTGATAAACAATTCCTGTATCCGCGACAGATACCACGCTAGCCGCAACAATTGCTTGATCACCGTCGTCCGCCATTCAAAAACATTTTCAGGAATCTACGCTGATTGCCTGAACACGGAACGGAACGATGGACTTGATTTCGAGATAAGCTGATTTCAGGACCGAGTCGCGAATGAGAACCATTAGCTTTTCACCGATTCTGCTACGGGTGCTCGAGCAAGCAAATGTCAAGGTGCGAAAAACTGCTCCGTATTCGTCGATTTTTTGTTTGCTGCAGAACATAATTTCTGCTGGAAGGCCCTGAAAGTGTTGACCGTGGACGTCTCTGACTGGTGGTTCTGAGAATGGCCTGCCCAACTCGACCCAAATTGGAAACGATAAACCGGAGGGGCTGGGAAACAACTTTCTACTACCATGGGATATTCCCTTTGGGCTGGGAAGGAAAAATGCTCCCTCGGGATTTGTCCCGCAATTCGAAACCCTTGGCTGCCCGAACGCGCGATGTGAGGTGCATGCAACAGTGAGTTGGGGTTTCAAGAGCTGCCCGTGAGCACGACTTTTGTTGCAGAGAATTCGGGCAGGAGGTAGCAAGTGACCAGGGCATTTTGTGGTGGAGGCGGAGGGAGATCAATTGATCGGGCAGGGGCTGAATGGATGCCCCAGCCGTTGAATCAATTCGCAATCCAACGGCTTAGCGCATCTGTAGGAAAATTCTCAACCCCAGGAATTACCAATTGTGTATTGAATTCACTGGACGAGAAACTAATACCGAAGCTGACAATGACGGAAGTGCAAGTTCAAGCTTCTGGAATGCTGGGTTGAGGAAGAATCGAGGTTTCGGCTTTAGGGTTTCTTTCCCCCATTATTGCTAGATACCTGACCTGAACCAGCAGCAGATTCCTAGTCTCCTGCGCTAGACGGGAACTCGACGTTCTCTTACCCAGAGATAATGGTCCTTTGCTTATCGTCGTCACCTTAGTGTAGTGCGCCATTCTGCTCCAATTCTCTTCAGCAGGGAGTAATTAGTTACTAGTCTGCAGGGAGTGAAGCCTGTAGAAAGAACATGGCGAAACCAGGAAAACCGCGTTCGCACAGACCGCACGGGAAGGGAGGCAAGTTCGGGCAGCAGAAAAAGGGTCAAAAAAACAACAAGCACCAGTACCAGAAACCCCCGTCCAAGCTCCAGCTAGAAATCGCGGAAATCCGGCAGCTCGAAGCGCGGATCGCAGCTGGCGCGCCCGCGCCCGGGTCGAATCCTCTCGCCGCGGATCTCTCCGCTCCCGCCGCGCCTGCCGCGCCAGCGAATAGCAAAGAGAGGAGAAAGAATGCGTCTAAGGAGGGAGCAATAGCGGCAGGAGGAGGCGGATCGGCGGGCGGGAAGGGGGAATTTGAGCCGTACGTCGGCGCGAAGCTGTTTGAAGAGCTGCCTATATCGAAGCGAACGATGAAAGGACTCAAGGTGAGGTTTGGGTGTTGTTCATCAAGGTTCAGATTGAGGGTTTATTGTGAAGGGCTCGCTTATCTATGAGGGTTGAGGGTTAAACTTGGAGGTTTATGGGGCACGGAACAGGTCAAAACTGTCGGTTTGGATTTTAGTGATGATCCATAAACAGCAACTTGACGTTTTAGAATGTTGACCCGTGAACACAAAACGGATTGAACCTCGAGACAGAGAGGACAGCATTGGGTCTCAGACTGTGTCCGTCTGTTCTTCTATCAACCCCCTCGTTCCTGCCACGTGGCACAACAGGATTCGGAGTACGTGCACATGACGGCCATTCAGCGAGCTGCCATCCCTCATGCGCTGTGCGGGAGAGACGTGCTGGGAGCAGCCAAGACAGGCTCGGACAAAACCCTCGCGTTCATCATTCCTGTGAGTCTGTCATGTCCTGTCTGTATATCTCCATGCACTCACTAACTGCAGTGTAACAGTAAGACCCTATGCCCTGTGTGGGAGAGACGTGCTGGGAGCAGCCAAGACAGGTTCTGGCAAAACCCTCGCGTTCATCATCCCTGTAAGTCTCATGTGTATCTATACACGCACTAGCTGGACCTCCGTAGGAATCATCAACGTGTTGTGCGGGAGAGACGTGCTGGGAGCAGCCAAGACAGGCTCGGGAAAAACCCTCGCGTTCATCATTCCTGTAAGGCCCATGTATTGGTGTATGCATCCTTGCTCTCTCTATCTGGACATCAATAGCTATGCTCAACAGCGCTGTGCGGGAGAGATGTGCTGGGAGCAGCCAAGACAGGGTCAGGCAAAACCCTCGCGTTCATCATTCCTGTGAATTTTTTGTGTAGCTTTACATACACTCACTAGCTGGACCTTCGCAGCATTGGTCTTACGCTCTGCGGGAGAGACGTGCTGGGAGCAGCGAAAACATGGTCTGGCCAAAACCCAAATCTTTGAGCTGTCCCAGCACCTCCCCTCCACCCACCCCCAAATCTCCTTTCAGCTGCTAGAGAGGCTGCACCGGCAGCGCTGGTCGCACATGGATGGTGAGGGGGGGGCGTTGCAGTTGCCTAATACGCTGTCCCAGCACCTCCCCTCCCCACCCCGTTGCCTCAGCTGCTAGAGAGGCTGCACTGGCAGCGCTGGCCGCACATGGATGGCGAGGGGGGCACGGTGACTTTCCCTAAAGCAGGAGCCAAAACATGTCTCCCTCCCTCCCATCTGACATCTCCTTCTCTGTTGCTCTACCGTTGTTGTTTCTACCAACCAACCAATGACCCCAACAGCTGCTGGAGCAGCTGCACCGGCAGGCTGGTCGCACATGGACGGCGTGGGGGAGCGTTGCAGTGTGGTTTCATATTGCACTGTTTAAGACCCCCACTTCCCACACCCACCTTCCCCTATCACTCCTTTCAGCTGCTGGAGAAGCTGCACCGGCAGCGCTGGTCGCACATGGACGGCGTGGGGGCCATCATCATATCGCCCACGCGGGAGCTTGCCACCCAGATCCTATTGCCACGGTCCATGATCAGACGGCCCTTGGCAGAACGATGGTGGCTGGCTTCTCAGTACCACGCCCGAGACATGCCTCCCTTTCCTCCCATCTGATCTCACCTCCCTTCCCTTCACCTTTTCTTCTTCTCTTTTCTCTGGTCTTCTCTTCAGCTCCTGGAGAGGCTGCACCGGCAGCGCTGGTCGCACATGGACGGCATGGGCGCCATCATCATATCGCCCACGCGCGAGCTTGCCACGCAGATATTTGGCGAGCTCAAGAGGGCCGGGCGGCACCACCCCTTCTAGGGCGGCTTACTGATTGGCGGGCGGGCGGGGAGCGTGGAGAAGGAGAGGGAGCGCGTGCAGGTGGGTGGGTGGGTGGGTGGGTGGGTGGGTGGGTGGGTGGGTGGGTGGGTCCCTGCATGTGTTTCACATTTGTTTTGAGTCGTCTCGAAGCTGATTGGCAGGCGGGCGGGGAGCGTGGAGAAGGAGAGGGAGCGCGTGCAGGTGAGTCGGTAGGTGGGTGGATGATTGCGTGCGTGGGTGGGTGGGTCTTTTTATCCGATCAAAGTGTAAATGCTCACGTTCTCGGGCGGCCTGCTCATTGGCGGGCGGGCGGGGAGCGTTGAAAAAGAGAGGGAGCGCGTGCAGGTGGGTGGGTGGGTGGCTGAATCCTTGCGTGTGTTTTGCATTTGTTTTGAGTCATCTCAAATCTGATTGGCGGGCGGGCGGGCGGGGAGCGTGGAGAAGGAGAGGGAGCGCGTGCAGGTGGGTAATTGTTTTTTTGCTTCTTGATACTCACCTTTGTTTTTTTGGCATTCACATTGCTTCGTGAATCTTTCGGTCACCACTGCAGCAAGTGTATGTGGATCAGTTAAGGTGTTACTTTCCCTAACCCTGGTCTACTTTTCTCTAATCTCCCAATCCTATATCATCTCCTCCCCACCAGTCCCTCAACATCCTCGTCTGCAGTCCCGGTCGTCTGCTGCAGCATATGGACGACACGAGACAAGCTGACCCTCTCCTTCCCTCTCCCAACTCTACCCCTACGCCCATCCATCCCCCCTATCTTCCTAATCCTTCCCCAACAGTCCCTCAACATCCTCGTCTGCACGCCCGGTCGTCTGCTGCAGCATATGGACGAGACACCCAATTTCGACGCATCTAATCTCCAGGTACGAGGCATCTTTTCTTTTGTTTTGCCCTAAGTTGTTTTGAGACGCTGTAAGGCCCTCTGCTCTTCCACCTCGGTTTCGGTTTCGTCGCAGCACTCAACGCCATTATCGCCAACCTCCCTCCACCCCCCCACCGCCAAGCGCTGCTCTTCTCCGCCACGCAAACCAAGTCCGTGCGCGACCTCACTCTCCTCAGTCTAGTGCCTCGCCCTCTGCCCCACCCATCTCCCTCCCCCTTCCCTCCAGAAGCTGCTTCTGGATGAGGCCGATCGCATTCTAGACCTGGGTTTCGCAGCAGCACTGAACGCCATTATCAACCCTGCCATTATAGCCAACCTGCCGCCGCCCCCCCACCGCCAAACCCTTCTCGTCTCCCTCCATCCCCTTCCAGATGCTAGTGTTGGACGAGGCAGACAGGATTCTAGACCTCGGATTCGCAGCAGCACTCAACGCCATAATAGCCAAACTCCCGCCGCCCCCCCACCGCCAAGCTTGTTTGTACTGATGAAGGCTTGCAAAAGCCGAAACTAGTTTACTCAAGTTCTGACGTTAAGATTCGATTTTGTTCAAACTGGCTTACTAAAATACGATCTAGCATACAAGCTTAAACAAGGCTCACCATTTTCATTTCATGGAGTTTGTCTCGCCGTCTCAGTAACACTCAGGTTGATGGACATCAGACCTCCGCAGCCCACCTGTTTACTAATAACAACATCCCCACCGCCAAGCGCTGCTCTTCTCCGCCACGCAAACCAAGTCCGTGCGCGACTTGGCTCGCCTCTCCCTCTTATCTCTCTAGTGCCTCTCTGTGCACACCTCTCCCTCTGCCCCTCCCGTCTTTCCCTCTCTCCCTCTCATCTCCCTCCCCATTCCTTCAGATGCTGGTTTTGGATGAAGCTGACAGGATTCTTGACTTAGATTTCGCAGTTGCTTTGAACGCCATTATAGCCAACCTCCCTCCACCCCCCCGGCCGTCAAACCCTCCTCTTCTCCGCCACGCAAACCAAGTCCGTGCGGGATCTCGCCCGCCTCTCCCTCTCCTCGCCCGAGTACCTCTCTGTACACGCCGAGGCAAATCAAGGCTGTCTCCTCTCCCATTCCGCCCTTTTCCCTCCAGATGCTGGTATTGGACGAGGCCGATCGCATTCTAGACCTGGGGTTTGCCTCAGCCCTCAACGCGATAATTGCCAACCTCCCTCCGCCCCCCCACCGGCAAACGCTGCTCTTCTCCACCACGCAAACCAAGTCCGTGCGCGACTTGGCCCGCCTCTCCCTCTCCTCACTCTAGTTCCTTGCCTCTCCCTCTCCCCATGCGCCTCTCCCTCTTCCCCACCCGTTTTCCTCCCTCTTCCTTCAGATGCTGGATCTGGATGAAGCCGATCGCATTCTCGATCTCGGGTTTGCCTCAGCCCTCAACGCGATAATAGCCAACCTCCCTCCACCCCCCACCGCCAACCTCCTCCCCTTCCCCTTCAGATGCTGGTTCTGGATGAAGCTGATAGAATCCTCAATCTCGGTTTTGCAGCAGCCCTCAATGCAATCATAGCAACCTCCCTCCACTTCCCCACCGCCAAACGCTGCTCTTCTCCGCCACGCAAACCAAGTCTGTCCGCAACCTCGCCCGCCTCTCCCTCTCCTCAATCTACTGCCCCCCCCCTCTTCCCCACCCGCTTTCCTCCCTCTTCCCCCAGATGCTGGTTCTGGACGAGGCTGACAGGATTCTGGACCTGGGGTTTGCCTCAGCCCTCAACGCCATAATAGCCAACCTCCCCCCACCCCCCCCACCGCCAACGCTGCTCTTCTCCGCCACGCAAACCAAGCCCGTGCGCGACCTCGCCCGCCTCTCCCTCTCCTCGCCCGAGTACCTCTCCCTCTCCTCATGCGCCTCTCCTTCTTCCTCTCCCGTCTCTCCCCCTCCCCCCCACACCCAGATGCTGGTTCTGGATGAAGCCGATCGTACTTTTGAGGCGCCTCAAAAGTCAGATGCTGGTTTTGAGGCGCCTCAAAAGTCAGATGCTGGTTTTGAGGCGCCTCAAAAGTCAGATGCTGGTTTTGAGGCGCCTCAAAAGTCAGATGCTGGTTTTGAGGCGCCTCAAAAGTCAGATGCTGGTTTTGAGGCGCCTCAAAAGTCAGATGCTGGTTTTGAGGCGCCTCAAAAGTCAGATGCTGGTTTTGAGGCGCCTCAAAAGTCAGATGCTGGTTTTGAGTCGCCTCAAAAGTCAGATGCTGGTTCTGGATGAAGCCGATCGTATTCTCGATCTCGGTTTCGCCTCAGCTTTGAATGCAATCATCGCCAACCTGCCCCCGCCCCCCCACCGCCAAGCGCTCCTCTTCTCCGCCATGCAAACCAAGTCCGTGCGCGACTTGGCCAGGCTGTCCCTCTCCTCCTCCCGTCGCTCCATCTCCCCGCCCGCCTCTAACTCTCCTCACCCGAGTGTCTCTCCCTCTTCCACACCCGTTTTCCTCCCTCTTCCTTCAGATGCTGGTATTGGACGAGGCTGATCGTATTCTAGACCTGGGCTTTGCAGCAGCACTCAACGCCATTATAGCCAACCTGCCGCCACCCCCCCACCGCCAAACGCTGCTCTTCTCCGCCACGCAAACCAAGTCCGTCCGAGACCTCGCCCGCCTCTCCCTCTCCTCGCCCGAATACCTCTCTGTTCACGCCGCTAAGGCTGCAGCAGACGGTGATGGTCGTGGAAGCTTCCCAGAAGCTGGACGTGCTATGGAGTTTTTTAAGGAACCACCTGCAGAAGAAGACGGTCGTTTTCCTGAGCAGCTGCAAGCAGGTGCGTGTTAAGCTGACTCAAAAGTCACCTCCTGCTGCTGCCACAGCAGGTGGGTGTGTCCGCCAGGTGGGTGTGTGAACAGCATGCTGCCTCGCCTCTCCCTCTCCTCGCCCGAGTACCTCTCTGTGCACGCCGAGGCCAAAGGGGCGACGCCGTTGCGGTTGCAGCAGACGGTGATGGTCGTGGAAGCTTCCCAGAAGCTGGACGTGCTGTGGAGCTTTCTGAGGAACCACCTGCAGAAGAAGACGGTCGTTTTCCTCAGCAGCTGCAAGCAGGTGAGAGGGTGGACGGATGACTGAGAGCAGGTGCAAGCAGGTGAGTGTGAATCGCGTGCTAGCATGTGATTGATGCCACGTGCTGTGGAGCTTCCTCAGGAATCATTTGCAGAAGAAAACGGTCGTGTTTCTCAGCAGCTGCAAGCAGGTGGGTTATGGGTTAATTCAAAACCTAAGCAGGTGAGAACAGGTGCAAGCAGGTGGGTGTGAGATGCGTGTTTCTTCCCTGTCTCTCCCTCCCGATCAAGCCAAGCCTGTGCTTGCTTGGGACTGTGAACGCCTCTTGCTGTAAATCTTCCTCAGGAACCACCTGCAGAAGAAGACGGTCGTTTTCCTCAGCAGCTGCAAGCAGGTGAGAGGGTGGGCGGATGGGTGCATGCAAACAGGTGGGTTTTGAGTCGACTTGAAAACCAAGCAGGTGGGTGTGAGCAGCATGCTGCCTCTTCCTCTCCTCGGCCGTTCCCAGAAGCTGGACGTGCTGTGGAGCTTCCTCCTCAGGAATCACTTGCAGAAGAAAACGGTTCTTTTATTCATCCCTGTCTGTTTAGGCTCCTTCCGCAGGTGAAACTCGTGTTTGAGCCCTTGAGAAGGTGAAACTCGTGTCTGAACCCTTGAGAAGGTGAAGTCCTTGCATAGTGCTGAAGCTGCTGCACGGACGCATGAAGCAGATGACCCGCCTGGCGTCCCACCCTCCCTTCACTCCACTCCACTCCACCCCCCTGGACCCGGTCCCCCCTTCCCCTCTTCCGCTCCCCAGGTGAAATTCGTATTTGAGGCCTTTCGAAGGCTGAGGCTTGGCATAGCGCTGAAGCTGTTTCACGGGTGAACGAAGCAGATGACCCGCCTGGCTTCCCTCCCTTTAGTACCACTTAAAACTCCAGTGTCCACCCCTGTCTGTACCACCTCCGCAGGTGAAATTCGTGTTTGAGGCGTTCAGAAGGCTGAGACCCGGAATAGCGCTGAAGCTGCTGCACGGGCGGATGAAGCAGATGACCCGCCTTCTGTGCCCCCCCTCCCCCTTGTCTGTTCCACTTATGCAGGTGAAGTTTGTATTTGAAGCGTTCAGAAGGCTAAGACCAGGCATAGCGCTGAAGCTGTTGCATGGGAGGATGAAGCAGATGACCCGCCTGGCCTCCTTCCATGACTTCTGTGACTCTTCCTCAAGCCTTCATCCGCCTTCTCTCCCCCTTCCCACTTCTCTGCTCCCCTCTCCCCTCCTCTTCCCTCTGCATCAGGTGAAATTCGTGTTCGAGGCCTTTAGAAGGTTAAGACCCGGCATAGCATTGAAGCTGCTGCACGGGCGGATGAAGCAGATGACTCGCCTGCGTGGCCTCTCTCTTGTACACCATCCGAACCTCCAGTGTCCGCCCACCCCTGTCTGTCTGTACCACTTATGCAGGTGAAGTTTGTCTTCGAAGCGTTTCGCCGGTTGAGACCCGGCATAGCGTTGAAGCTGCTGCACGGTCGGATGAAGCAGATGACCCGCCTGGCGTCCTTCCATGACTTTTGCGAATCAGACCATGCCGTGCTGTTCGCAACGGATGTTGCTGCCAGGGGATTGGACTTCCCTGCTGTCGACTGGGTTGTGCAGGTAATAGGTTGTCTTGAGTTGACTCGGGGTGTTGACTTTTGTGAATCAGACCATGCGGTGCTGTTTGCAACGGATGTTGCTGCGAGAGGGCTCGACTTCCCTGCTGTCGACTGGGTCGTGCAGGTGAGAGAGGGTGGCTTCATTGACTTGGGTTGACTTGGGTTGACTTTGCATGAAGCAGATGACCCGTCAGACCACGCGGTGCTGTTTGCCACGGATGTTGCTGCCAGAGGATTGGACTTCCCGGCCGTGGACTGGGTTGTGCAGGTGAGACTTGGGTTGACTTGGAATGACGTGCTGTTTGCCACTGATATCGCTGCCAGAGGATTGGACTTCCCTGCTGTTGACTGGGTCGTGCAGGTGAGAGAGTGTGTCTTGGTTGATTGACTTTGCCGATGCTGTGTTGACTTTGTTGACCCTCATTGATTGACCAAAAAAATATCTTGGTTCAACTCGTTGACTTTCCACGCCGCCCTACATCCCCATCCCACCCTGACCTCAACCACCAGGCGGACTGCCCTGATGACGTGGCAACATACATTCACCGGGTCGGTCGCACGGCCAGGTTCAATGCATCTGGACGCTCGCTGCTGCTGCTCGACCCCTCTGAGAAAGCCATGCTGCCACTGCTGGAAGCGGCCAAAATTCCGTTTTCTCTAACCAAGGTGAGTTCTACCGCTTGTTACCCTAATCTGTACGTTTCTGTGTACCCTATGAGATGGCTCTCAATGCATCGGGTGCTAGAGGCGGCCAAAATCCAAATCTCCCTCACCAAGGTGGGTGGGTGTGTGGGTGGGTGGGTGGGTGGGTATGTGGGTGCGTGGGTGGGTGGGTGCGTGGGTGGGTGGGTGCGTGGGTGGGTGGGTGCGTGGGTGGGTAGGTGCGTGGGTGGGTGGGTGCGTGGGTGGGTGGGTGCGTGGGTGGGTGGGTGTTACCTCTTCTTACCCTGAGCTGGTTCCTCAGCTCCTAAGCGCCTTTACTTCACTTCCCCGCTACTTCTCACCCCCTCTGAGAAAGCCATGCTGCCGCTACTGTAAGCGGCCAAAAATCTCGTTCTCCCTAACCAATGTGGGTGTAACCCTAAGTTGGGTATGCACGTATATTTTTAGTCGTTTTATGAGTCAACTCAAAAAACGATTTCGTTCTAACCAAGCTGGGTGTAACCCTAAGTTGGGAATGTGCGTTTCTGTTTTCAACGTATGCGAACGGAATGTTCCTTACCACTGCATCTACCCCCTTATGTTGGGACGGATGGCCCTCCGTTTCCTTTGTCCCAGCCCACGTTTTTCCCCAACCGGCCTGCCCAGCCAAGCTACAGCCCATCCCATCTCAACCCAACCCAACCCAACCCAACCCAACCCAACCCAACCCAACCCAACCCAACCGAACCCACCTCTTTCTCTAAGGTGCTGGCAGTGCTGCTGTCCAAAGACCTTGAGGTCAACCCTTGTCCACAGCACCCCACCGCACCGTGCCTCACCGCAACCCAGCCTCCTCCACTCCCCAACAGGCCAACCCAAACGAGATGCAACCCATGTCGCAGGTGCTGACAGCGTTGCTGTCCATCCCACCCCACCCCACTCCACCGCGCCCCACCACCCCACAACAGGCCAATCCATTCCGCCAAGAGCCGATAGCCCAGGCGCTGGCAGCGCTGCTTTCAAAGGGAAGGACTCTGTGATCAACCGTTGCTCACAACACCCCAACCGCACCGCATCCCACCCCACCCCATTGCACCCCATCGCAACCCTCTGTTTTCCCAACAGGCGAACCCAGCCAAGATGCAACCCATAGCCCAAGCTCTCGCAGCGCTCCTCTCAAAGGACTCTGAAATCAAGTACCTGGCGCAGCGGTCCCTTGTTACCTACCTGCGATCCGTGCACCTGCAGGTATGGATGTACATATAGGTGTGCATATGGATATACTACATATATAAATATGTTTTTATATATATGTGTATATGTATGATACATACGTATGTACATACATACATACATACATACATACATACATACATACATACATACATACATACATACATACATACATACATACATACATACATACATACATACATACATACATACATACATTCATACATACATGTGAAATCTGCATGTGACCTCCCCTTTTCCCTTCCTCTCCACCCCTCCCACCCAACGGCCTCCGTTTTTCCAATGTTCCCCCTTCTCCCCCCAAAACACCCTCCCCTCTAACATTCCCCCCCTCGGGCAGAGCAACAAAGAAGTTTTTGACGTAACCAAGCTGCCCGTGGAAGAAATTGCAGCCTCCATGGGGCTGCCCAACCCGCCAAAACTTCGCTTCCTGAAAAAAACGAAGGGGGGGGGGAGAAATCAGGGGATGCACAAGGGGGGACGAAAGCGGCAAAGGGGAAGGGGGAAGAGGGGAAAGGGGATGTAGGGGAGTGGAAAGGGCAGAAGATTCGATTTGGTGATGATGATGCTGACGATGAGAGTGATGGCAGCGAGGAGGGAAGTGATGCTGAGAGTGAGGGAGGAAGTGAGGGAGGGAATGAGGGAGAGGAGGACGTGGAGGGAGGTGTAAGTGAGGGAGAGGACGACACAGATGACGAGGGGGAGAGGGAGGAAGGGGAGGAAGGGGAAGAGGGAGAGAGAAGAGAGGGAGGAAAGAGGAGAAGAAGAAGAAGACAAAGTTGGAACGCTTGTTTGGAAGAACCAACAGAGGGGTCCTGTCAGCCTCTTACGATAGGCTGAGAGCAACCGAGGAGGACGAGGAGGAGGGTGAAGCAGGGGAAAGGGGTGGGGAGGAGGGGGAAGAGGAGGAGGATGAGTTGTTGCGAGTGAAGAGAGTGAATCATCTGCTGGATGGGGAGGAGAGGGAGGATGGGGAGGAAGGGGAGGAAGGAGGGGAGGAGGGACGGAGTGGAGCTGCGACTGCAGCAGAAGAGAAGCGGGTGCTTAAGTAAGTGTGCAGTCAGTTCTGAAAGTGCTTGTTTGTTGTAAGGCTCTGGATTGCAGCATATGTTTTTTCCATCCGTTTGAAGCTTGTGTGGAGTAATCATCAATTTTTAGCTTCGTCGGTTCTGAGTCGTTGCCCTTCTCGCAAGTTTCAATTTTGAGGGGTGTTCAGAACTTTTTCTTCTCCTTCCTTTTTGCTCTGATCAGTTTGTTGACTCTTTCCAGGAAGCAGCGCAAGAAGCTTCTCTCGGGCCCAGGCCGACATGGCGGCACGCGATTGGTCTTCGACGACGAGGGTAATCCGCTGCCGCCCCTCGCGGCCCTAGCCCCTAGCCTTGGAAAAGGACAAAAACGGAGGGCGGCGGCGGAGGAGGATGCTGAGCTGGCAGCTGCCGCCCTTGCCTTGGAAAAGGACAAAAACGGAGGGGCGGCGGTGGAGGAAGGGGGGGATGCGGCTGGGAAGCGGTCGGCGGGGGAGGATGCTGAGCTGGCAGCTGCCGCCCGGGCAGCTGAGGAAAGATTTCGGCAGCTGCGGGAGGAGATGCAGCAGAAGGATTTGGAGGACCGGGCAGCTGAAAAGAGCGTCTGCGAATGAAACGGCTCAAGGAGAAGTTGAAGGTGAAGAGACGGGCAGGAGAGGGGAGGGAGGAAGGGGAGGAGGGAGGGCGCGTGGTAATGCTAGGCAGGGGGAGTGATGATGATGATGATGATGATGATGATGATGATGATGATGATGATGATGATGATGATGATGAATGATGATGATGATGATGAGGATGATGATGATGATGATGATGATGATGATGATGATGATGATGATGATGATGATGATGATGATGATGATGATGATGATGATGATGATGATGATGATGATGATGATGATGATGGTGATGATGATGATGATGATGATGATGATGATGATGATGAGATGATGATGATGATGATGATGATGATGAGAGTGAGGAGGAAGAGGAGGAAGGAGGAGGAGGAGGAGGAGGAGGAGGAAGAGGGGGATTTGAGGAGGGGGAGAGGCAAAGGGAAGAGGGGTGGTCGCAGTGGAAGTGTGACTATAGCGAGGGTGAGAGTGAGGAAGAGAGGGAGTCTGAAAAGGGTGGCGTGCAATGGAACGAAAGTGATAGTATGGACGAACAGGAAAGGGAGGAGACTTTGGGTTAGATTCCAGTGGAGATGAGGGAGAGGAAATGGAGGAAAGAGAAAGAGGAGGAGGGAGAGGGGGTGGGAGAGGGGGAGAGAGAAGGGGAGGGAGAGGGGGGGGGGGTGGGGCTGGGACTGGCAGAGCAAGAAGCTTTGGTACTCCGGTTGCTAGCTGCCAAGCGCCAATGAGGAGCTGTGAGGAGTCTCGCAAGTTGGGCTTCGCAGGAGAGGTTTGGCGAGGCAGTGAGCTCGCAAGGCTGTTGGGTATACTTTTTGGCCTTCAGCCCTCGATCCCCTTTGTTGTCATCATGGTATCAGGTGTTCCGAACGGGCATGTTAACGAAATGACTAGTTCACATTGCTGTTTCTGCTAGCTGGTTGAGGATTATGTTGGTTGGGTACAGTAAGCTGGTAAACCAGAGGCTTGAGGCAGGCTATTGATTCAAAAGCAAATGGCTGGCTACAGCATTACTCACAACCACCCAGCACACATGGCCTAGTTTGGCTCAGGACATGTGGCACGGGCAAACATCCCACCCAAGGAAACAAAAACAGCCATTTTTATGCATTATTTGACACAGACTGTACCCTGCAGCGCTACACTCTACACATCTCCTGCGCCATTTGCAGGAGCGGCTGCTGATGCCTTGAACTGGTTGTGTTCGGACTTGGGCTTGAAGAGGTAATCGCGGATGACAAGTGCGATGTAGAACAGCCCAAGCACGCGGCGATGGCGATCCCGACGATAATCAGGTAAGCCTGGAATGGAAGATGGGAGAAATGGGTGAGATTTTGTGTACATTGACGCATGGGATATGCCCCTTACAAAGGATCCAAGTACCCTTAACATTTTGAAGGGGGATTCACAAGATATGGCACTAAGGACATCGGGTGTTATACGGCATGAGAGAGAAGGGGAAGGGAAGGGGGGAGAGAGGGAGAGAGAGAGAGAGAGAAGAGGAGAGAGAGAGACGAGGAGAGAGAGGAGAGGAGAGAGAGAGAGAGAGAGAGACGAGAGAGGAGAGAGACGAGCGAGAGGAGGAGCGAGAGAGAGAGAGAGAGATGAGAGAGAGAGAGAGGAGAGAGAGAGAGAGAGAGAGGAGAGAGAGAGAGAGAGATGAGAGAGCGAGAGAGAGAGAGAGAGAGGGACCAGAGACTCACCCTCTGATTTCCAGAGAACATTGTAGTGTAACGGTCGAGGCCGAGGAACACGTTCACCCAGCCCACCGACTGCAACAATCCCCAAACCAGTGGCCGAAACGCCAAAACACACGGTAACTGGAGTTTCGCGAAGGCTTCACGAATCCCCCAATGGGCAGAACCAGCACAATGATGAACATCGCCAGCCCTAGCTGCCCATGAAGGTAATCCAACCCGCGAGTGCCACTGGTAACCAGAGCAATCACTGCGCCAGTGAAAACGAAAACAACGGCTACGATCTGCAGAATCATGTGCGCCTTGAACCACAGGGCCCGTCGCGCCTCGTCCTGCTCGGAAAGGCTCGCGGTCAGCCCAGCAGCCAAAACCGTTCGCGTCACCGCTTGTGCTGTACAATAGCGGGTCCGAAATCTGGTCTGCTGCGAGGAAACATACGCGCTATAATGATGGCGGAGGGCATCAGGATAGCAAACGCGAACGTCATGAAGAAGAAACCGTGTGCGATAAAAGACGCTGAGTGAGTTTCCGTAGGTTGTGGTGGGGACTGGAGTGGTGGTAATTGTAGTTGTGCCATTGTTATATGCAACCCTCGCAGAGAACCCCTGCAAGCACAACAGCCCAAGAAATAATCAGGGAATCGATTCCAAACAGCAAACTTTTTGTGACAAATTACGTGAAGCATGATGAGCAAGAGAGACGAAATTGAGCGAAGGAAGGCACAGAAGCGTGGTAACGGGAGGAAAAACCCACTGTTGGCACCGTGATACTTCAAATCCTTGGAATTGGAATCGGAGAAAGCCCAAATGACGTTAGCGGCAGCATCAAGGAAGAGGGGAACTTTGCCTGAAGCCAATTCCCTCTCGAATCTGCAGAAAGTGACAGAATTAATTGCACGGAAAGACAGAACAGGTTGAGGCACAATTTGAGCACAAAGTGAACCGAAAATCACCTCGTAAGACCTAGCAATGGGTATCAAAATGATTAATCAGTAATTCATCAAGCTTTTAATAGCTCACGCTGAGAAAGCCTATACAGACAGCTGAACTTACTCGACAATTGTCTTGCCGTCGCGAGTGGTCACGGCAGTCAACGACAGTCCGAGACGCGGGTTCGGCACAATGCTCGCCGCGCTCTTCGCGCCAATGTAGTATGCGCCAATGGGCGCCGGGTTGCCGTTCGCAGTGTCAGTGATGGTGCCAGGTGGCCAGTTGCCAATGGCTGCGTCGCTGCCGGCCATCTTGCCGTCCTTGGACCAGCCGAGGGCGACCCAGCCGGTGTGGTCGCGACTTCGGCGGCGTAAGAGACGGATTTGATGCCGACGGTCCAGTGGAGGATGTGGAACTGATGTGATTGTATCAGGGAGATGGGGGGGCGGGGCACACAGGGGAGCGAATAGAAATATTAAGCGGCGATTGTAAATGACGAAGTTGTGACAACGCGAGTGTTCAGTGTAACGGGAGACAAGTGGGTTAAAGGGGTACGAGGGGCGTGAACTGTTAAAAATAAGTTCAAGGCGCGCAGAGCTGGTGGTGCCTTTCCTGACCTAGCCTCTTCTAAGAAACCTCGGTACAAGAAACCCTTGTTCTTTGTTCCATAAGCGAGAGACTTACTTCTTGCCCTTCAGTTCAGCGGAGCAGCTGTAACCCGGCAGCGAGGACTTCGTGCATTGCGACGAACCCAGCTGCCACCGAGGTTCGCCTTCGCCAAACTCGTCGTTCACGACGGGTTCGCCAATCGCCCACGCGTCGTCCATCTCGTGCACCGGCTCCCCGTCGCCGAAGGAGTCGCCGGCGACGCTGTCGTCGAATCCCCACATCTCGTCGGTTTGATGAATTGGTGCACCTTCGCCAAAGGAGTTACCAGAGCTTTCGCCAAAGTCCCAAGAGTCATCGATTTCGTGCACAGGTTCGCCTTCGCCAAATTCATCGGATGACGACTCTCCAAAATCCCAGGAGTCGTCAGTTTCGTGAACGGGTTCACCTTCGCCAAACTCGTCCGCTGCTTGGAGGGTCGACACTTCCCAGTCCCATGATTCGTCAATTTCGTTAATAGGCTGGCCTTCACCAAACTCGTCAGTCGGCTTCGAAACTACGGTTTCCCAATCCCATGACTGATCAACGGGACTGTTTCTGCCTGGAGCCTTCTGGGCGTGAGCGAGGGCAAGTAGCCCGAGGAAGACGAGAAGGGCGATAGAACGGGGGCGCCATACTCGCGACCTCCGATACCAAGAGTAAATTAACTGATGTGCACACCTCTCTGCGTGCTACTTTCACGCCAATTTCGCACGACCGACCGTCCCCTGGCTTCAACTAACGCAAAAATCCTTTTGCTCCATCGTAGTCGTCTCAAATTTATACCAACCCACGAGAGTGGTCTGACTGTTGGTTGTTCCCGTCTCTCGGGTTGGACCTGATCAAGTTACCTCTGTGGAGGTGCTTGTGGTGGCGATTTCGCGAGGAGAGATGCTGGGTGAGGCGAGGAGAGTTGGCTGTGCCTGCCTGGGGCTGGAAATTGGGACACAATGCAGATGCGTGCAATTTCTTTTCCAAATCCATGATGACGAGGCGCGCACATTGCCACCACTCGTTCGAAATGCGTCTCGGCTAGGCCTCCACAATCATCTCATCTTGCACGTGGCACAGGGTCACCCTGTTTTGGTGTCTCGGGCTAGTTTCCCATATGGGGATTGGACCAGCTGTAGTACGGGCAGTTTCGATGAGAACTGAAAGTTCCACTGAAGAGGCAACCGAGTTGACTTTTTGTTGTGGGTTGGTCAAAATTGCACTTCGGGCAACTATAGGGGCAGTAAGAGTAGTAAACGACTTGCACTTCGAGCAAAAGCCTGTCTGAACCAGACCTACAATGTGGTCAGGAAGAGGAGGGCGCTTCTCTGGGTCAGATTCAACGAGTCGCGAAAACACAGGTTGGGTTTGAGGGAGGGTGCGTATGCATATGCACGAACTTCAATGTTCCTCGTTATAGGAATGCCATCTTAGTTCCCGCAACTCTACCATATTTCCCTTACTTAATTGTATTTAGCTTAGCATTTCTCACACATTCTATGTTCAGCATTAAATATATATATATTGTAGAACAACAAGATCACCTACATGGGCAGCTGCCAAGATGGCAACCAAACCATTTACATCGTGCACCAACCACTACTGGCAAAATGTGCGATGTACATCAGCACGTACACAAATACACACCGCACCTTGTACCTCGACAATCCATCCAACTCACGTTTCCAAACCTCCCAGGCTGTGAAACATGCTTCGCCCACTCCTCAGAAGTACCACCTCTCCATACACTTTTATTCCCGTCTCCTTGTAACCCAAACCATGTCCCCCATACCATTAAACTGTCTCCAGAAAAGCCTTTTAGCTCAAAAGGCAGCATCCACAACAAACCAAGCCCTGATACCCCGGGTGATGATATCGCTTGTGGGCCTGCTTGTGTGCCCCCTTGTGCGCCGTCTACCCTTGGTGCCTGCGGCGACGGCGCCTGCGGTCGCGACGGTCCCTGTCATGATCCCTGTTGTCCTCATCGTCGTTGTCTTCATCACCCTCCCCCCTCCCCCCCCCCCCTCCCCTCCCTCTACCCCCCCCCCTTTGCCCCCTCCTTTGCCACTGTGTGTGTGCCGTCTACCCTTGGTGCCTGCGGCGACGGCGCCTGCGGTCGCGACGGTCCCTGTCATGATCCATGTCATCATCATCGTCATCATCATCATCATCATCATCACCACCCCCTCCTTTGCCCCCACCAGAAGGAGCAGTCCTGCATGAGAAATCCACTGTGATTCGTCCACTGGAGAGACAGGGAGGCAGGAAGACATAAAAGAGGAAAAAAAAACAGGTAAACAAAAATAATTATTTATAAGAAACGGGATTTGTTCTTCGTTGTCGTCGTCATCACCACTGCACCATGCAACCATCATATGTACTCCCTACGGGCACCCTGACATACCTTCATACAAGCAGTCACACATACCCCCTATAAAAAACATACATACTCTTCATAATAAACCGGACAAATCACCCGAGAGAGGAACCATAAATGATAGAGACCCCCTATAAGCAGCCTTACAAACACGCACTGCGCACCACCACGAAACCACAGTCTCTTAAAGCCAGCGAGAGGGAGTAGGCCCATGCGATGCGAGGGTGTTTTTGACCCATGCCACCAGCACTCTCATACCCCATATAAGCAACCATACATACTCTCAATAAGCAGCGATAAGAACATCTTATAAGAAACCTTAAAAACTCACTATGCGCCGCGTGGTAGCCGAGGCTCTTGGAGCCGGGGGAGTAGGTAGTAGGCCCATATGAGGGGTTTTTGTTCCACGCCAGCATTATCCATACCCCTTATAAGCAGCCATGCAATACTCACTACAAGCCATTGGCAAGATACTCACTATGCTCCGCCGTGGTAGCCCATGCTCTTGGATCCCGAGGGGGAGTAGGCCCATATGAGGGTGTTCTTGTTCCACGCCAGGAAGCGAGACACTGATCCTGTGTAGTGCTTGCGCGAGAACCTGAGGGGGTGAGATGAAGGGACAAGAGCAGTGGAGAGGGGGTAAGGAACGGGTGGGAACGGTGAATGGGAGAGGGAGTAGGACCATATGAGGGTGTTCTTGTTCCAAGCCAGGGAGCGAGACACAGCCCCAGTGTGGTGCTTGCAAGAGAACCTGAGAGCATCAGAACGAAGGGGGATGTCAGGTGGAAGGAGAGAGGGAAGGGTGTGAGGAAAGAGACACCTTTGAGACCACTCAAAAGTCGTCTGATGCAGTGTAGTGCTTGCGAGAGAACCTGAAAACATCAGAACGAAGGGGGACGTCAGGTGGAGAGAGGAAGGTGCGAGGAAAGAGACAAAATAAGGGAGGGAGGGAGGGAGGGAGGGAGGGAGGGAGGGAGGGGGAGGAGGGAGGGAGGGAGGGAGGGAGGGAGGGAGGGAGGGAGGGGAGGAGGGAGGGAGAGAGGGAGGGCGAGAGGGAGGGAGAGAGGGAGGGAGGGAGAGAGGGAGGGAGGGAGAGAGGGAGGGAAGAGAGAGGGAGGGAGGGAGGAGAAGGGAGGGAGGAGGGAGGGAGAGAGGGAGGGAGAGAGGAGGGAGGGAGAGAGGGAGGGAGGGAGAGAGGGAGGGAGGGACGAGAGGAGGAGGGAGGCGAGGGAGGGAGGGAGGAGGGGAGGGAGGGAGAGGGAGGGAGAGAGGGAGGGCGAGAGGGAGGGAGAGAGGGAGGGAGGGAGAGAGAGGGAGGGAGGGAGAGAGGGGAGGGAGAGAGGGAGGAGGGAGAGAGAGGGGAGGGGAGAGAGGGAGGGAGGGGAGAAGAGCGGGAGGGAGGGAGAAGCGAGGGAGGGAGGGAGAGAGGGAGGGGGGAGGGAGGGGGAGAGGGAGAGAGGGAGGGAGAGAGGGAGGGAGAGAGGGAGGGAGGAGAGAGGGAGGGAGAGAGGGAGGGAGGGAGAGAGGGAGGGAGGGGAGAGAGGAAGGGGATGCATCGAGTCGCTCCTATTCTCCCATGAACATGCCAGCCAATTCACCTCACACGCCCCACGCTTTCCCACTCTCTCCCACTCCCCTACACCACCCCCACTCCCTACACTCTCCCATACTCCCTCACACTCCCTCCCACTTCCCTACATCACCACCATCCCCACTCCCCACACTTCCCCTAACTCACTTGACCACAGTTGACCCCCAGTTGAAGACGTGACGGTTGCAGGGGTCTGCCCACATTCCCTCACCTCACACTCCCCAACCCCACTGCTCATATTCCCCCACCTCACAACCCCTACCCCCACTGCGCACATCCCCCCAATCCACTCACTTGACCACAGTTGACCCAGTCAAAGACGCGATGGGTTGCAGGGAAACCTTTGAGGCCCCTCAAAGGCCCCCACTCCCCCACACTCTCCCCCACTCTCCCCCACCTCTCCCCCACTCTCCCCACTGCGCACATTCCCCTCCCCCACTCACTTGACACAGTTGACCCAGTCGAAGATGTAACCGTTGCAGGGGTCTGCCCGATCCAAAACGAGGCAGGCTGTATCGAGGATACAGTGTACCCATTGATTTCATACGCGCCCACATCGCCGCCCGCCAGATTCCCGAAAAACAGCATCGGCAGGAGCCATCTTGTTATTGGCAGTCCAAGCGAGGGAAATCCAGCCGTTTTTGGCTGCTCCTGACTTGGCTTCTATTGCCATTGTCACTGCCCCATTGCTGCGCGCCTTGTTCCAATGCAGGAGCAGACTGTAACGAGGATAGGGCGTTTAACACACAGTAGAGAATGTGAGAAGAGGGGGATCACGCAACAGGTTGGAATGACAGGCACATATTAAAGGGGACAGCTGAACAGGCACAGGAAAACATTATTACCGCTTCACACATATCCCCTCCCTCCCCTCCCCACTCCTTTTCACACCAGATGCATCCCTCTCACCACAACAAACACCTCCCCACACCTCTCTACCAACAACAAACCCTCTCCACCGCTCTACACACCTGTTGCCGTTCAGCTTCGTTTGGTAGGAGTATCCAGTCAGCGTTGACTTGTCGCACGCGTTACCCGTCCCGAGCCTGACCCCGAACCTGACCCCGAGCCCGATCCCGAGCCTGACCCCGAGCCTGACCCCGAGCCTGATGACGTGGAGGAGCAGGAGAAGTCAACAGTGGTTCTTCCGCTGACAAGGGGGGGATGGAGTGGGGGGGAACGAGGGGGGAAGGCGGAGGAGAAGGGGGGAAAGGAAATGAGGGGGAAATTAGAGAGGAAAGGTAGGGGAACTGGGAAGAAGGGGGCGAGGGAAAGAGGGAGGGGAGGAGGTTGGGGGTAGGGAGCAATCGTCAGAGGGTGGGGAGAGGATTTTGAGAATGAGCAGGAGAGAGCTACCCCGGGGTTCCGGCAAAGCCAGACAAGCCGGGGAAAAAAAAAGAAAAGAAAAGAAAAGAAAAGAAGAGCAAAAAAAAAAGGGGAGAGAGCTGCACTCGTCGTGTGCTTCGGCTGACAGTGATACTCATACATGAGAGTGGTGAATGCGGGATGGATGGGATGGGCGCTGCTTACTATTTGCCGCGTGATAAGCAAGAGTGTTGGAGCCTGAGGGGGAGAAGGCCCATATGATTTCATAGGAGCCACCAGGAGGGTGGAGGGGGGGAGCGAGGGAACTTACTATTTGCCGCCGTGGTAGGCGAGGGTCTTGGAACCCGAAGAGGAGTAGGCCCAGATGATTTTATTTGAGCCGGTGGGGTTGACGCTCACGCTTCCGTCTGACGTGGACCGAGTGAAGCTGCGCGGAAGGTGCGGCGAGGGAGGAGGGGGAGGGGCGACGGAGGGAGGACGGGAAGGGGCGGTGGGAGGGAGCAGGGGAAGGGGCGGAGGAGGATAGGAAGGAGGAAGGAAAGGAAAGCATTAGTCACTGGAAGCAGGAATAATTAAATAGAGAGAGATTGGGAGGGCGCGGTTCAAGAGGGCAATGGCTCAAAACGATGGATGCTTACGTCATTATCGTCTTCGCTGACGTGGTAGTCAACCCCGGCGCGTAGATCGTGAACGAACTGGTTTTCGCCACGTCGGATAGACCGTATCCCGAAATACGATACGCGTACACCCCCGTGCCGCCCGTGTTTCCGATCACGGCATCGGCGGGCACCATATCACCGTCCGATGAGAATCCGACGGACATCCAGCCGCTGGCGGCGTTCGAGCCGCCGTCCGCCTCCAGAGCGAATTTCACCTTCGCGCCGCCAGCAGGCACGGTCCAATGTAGGGTGAGACTGTAACGGGGACGGATGGGAAAATGGGGAGAAGAGGGGGCCAGATGGTGGGTGAGGGAGTTTCAAAGAGGGGACCTGAAAGAATATTCAAGTAACGACGACCAGAGAAACGGGCGAAATATGAGAACGAATGAACGCGCAAGATGTGAAAATATGAAACCATATCGGCATGTTCCAGGACTCCGTACGAAAAATGTGAAGCGCCGACTATAACGTTAAATTGACGTTTCCAAGTAAGGCAGATTATCCATAAATAGAAAACTGCACTTTGAAACTCACGCGCTTCCGAGGCTGACTGATGACGTGTATCCGGCAAGAGATGACGCGGTACAAGACGAGGACGACGAGCCGCCATCGTCGTCGTCATCGTCGCCAATCCCCTTAAAGACGCCTTTAGCCCAGTCGACTATTCCTTGAAACAAATCTCCCCACGTCAGTTGCGCGCGACTGTCGGGAGGAGAATTAGGAGGAGAAGGATTGGCAGCGCGAGGGCCGCCGCGGATCTGCGGAAGCCGCGCTTGCGGCAAAGCGCATCCGGTCGAGCTGCGACGCGCGTCCGCGCGGGGTTCAGTGGCGGCGGCGCGAGCGCGCGCGCGCGCGATTTTCGGCAGGTCATCGGGGTTAGCGTCTGGAAACACCGACTCGTCGGAGAGAGATGTCAGATTGCTGAAAAGATTGCAGATTGCAGGCAGCTTTCAGTGTCGACAGATTTTACCGCATCGAGCCGTCAGATCTGAGCTGGTAAAGCCGCTGAAGAGAGCTCGCGACTCCACAAAGTGAATCAAGCACCTCAAGGGATAAGCTTCCTAGTAACAGGCGTGTTTTGAAACCAAGCAATGCTGTGTGACGGGTTGGTTGTAGACGTGCTGGAAAAATACTTGCGACGAAGGACAACTCAGGGGGGAAAGGGGCAGGGGGGGGATGGATCATGGAGGGGGGAGGTAGTGGGGGAGGGTGAGACGCGAACGTGGCGTAAAAAATTGGGGGGAAGGAAGGCGGACGGGAATACGTCTGTCGGCGTGCCCCAACTTCCGTCTCTCTGTACAATCAAGGGCCTGGACTGGGGGGAGCGTGGCTTGAGGTTGCGTTGCGCGCTGAGCAGTGGATGAAAGGGAGGTTGCCAGCGATGCGGGGGAGGGGGGAGCGGGGCGTTCTCGGCAGGGGGATTTGCGCCGTCGTTGATGAGGGGAGAGGGTGATTGGGAGGCGGAGGAGGGTGCGGGATGGGGCACCCAAGTTTGACATTTCTGCTTATCCGATTGGTCAGAACCGAAGACTACGCGGAGAGCGACTGCGACAAGGTGCGATGGGGGAATGTGCAGACGCGGCGCGGCAGATGCACCGGATGGAGAAGCAGCTGGGTGGATGGACTTTCAATTTGCAGTGGTGTGCCGTACCTTCTCATCCAGATCCAGGCATGAAGCCCAGGGTGGTACTGTTCACCTGAAAGAAGGGCGTCTTCAGGCTTGGAAAAGTTAAGGCTAGAAATGAGGTTCGGCAATTGAGGTTTGGCGCGCAGTCCCAACTTTGAAGGTCGCACGCGCGACCTATCACAGCTCAGCTGAGCGAGTACCTCAAGGTTCGGAAATGGCAACCTCCGATTTGGTGATTTGCAGGAAAATAGCCACACCTCAGCCCTCACAGGCTCGGTTCTGGGTTCGGCCAAGTGTGAAGGTCGTTTGGCAGAGAAACAATGTTTACATGTTTTGTCTTGAAAATAAGTGTGGTTTTCAGGTTGGTTTGACGTGACATAATCATAGTTGTCGTCTCGCAGCTGGCAATTACAAATACACTAGTGGGGAATAACGTATTTGTAGAAAGCATCAAGCGACCTCTGTTTCTGTGAGTTTTTTCGCGGGCAGGGACGAATCCGTTTCCGTGCGCGCGCCGCCGCTTTCCTTTCCAAACCGCGCTCTGACACCGAAAGCTTGTATGGATGAACTTGTCAATCCCAAATCCTCGACATTAGGTTCTGTACTATAGGGGGATGATACATGTTGTTGGACAGTCTAGAGAGACTAACCATAAGGCACCCATTAGCTAGTATATCACATCAATGTGATTTCTCTCTTAAATTAAATGGAATATATATATGTAATATTTACAGGAAATATGACCATCATTTGATCCGGTTATGCATATCATTTTCTTATGAATGCTTACACATATGAGGCGGAGGCGTAAAATGAGCCAGATCCGTTGAACCCAAGTGAGAAGTGTACTCGTATTTGCACTTCACTTCCTGGCGACCAACCTCGTGTCGCAAATCCAGCCGACACACTCTTTCTGTGTTCGACACGCGCTATTCGGTCCACCAATGAAGAATTTTGTTGACTGCTGAGACGAGCCAGTGAGCTATTCTTGGCTTGTGGTTCTCGTAGGTCGGTGCGCATTTGAGCATCGAGCACTGACATTCAAGTTGACGGCCGTCAACGAATCTGTAATGTACGACTGCCGAACGACTGGTTAGCGTGACTGACAGCCAGCACTGTAGTCAGCTTTGGTGCCTCGCCCAAACATTTGCGCCAAATCCAGTGAAATAGTTGTTCACACGGTGGGCAATCAGCCCGCGAAAGGATTGTACAGCTCCAAAATACGAGTGAAAATTGCACTTTCCACTACTGTAACCAAGAGACTGATGTCGAATTTTCTTTCTCCCTGCCCATAGCGGAAGCCCTTGTTGCTTCGTTCCCTTAGCTTCTCTCACAAGCCAGCTGTTCCATTCCATGGATGAATGGATGGCCACGGAGCGGCGCGCGCGACACACGCCATTTTTTTCATTCTGCGCCACCGACACCTTTGCCCATCGCGTCGCGTCTCTTTTCCCCCGCAGTCCCCCCTTTTCCCCCTCCTCCCCTCTGTACAGCCTTCCTTTCTCCCTGCTCTCGCGCCCAACCTTGCTTTCCCCCCCGCCCTCCCCCACACCCGCCGTTCCTCCCGCGGTCAATTTTTTATCAAACTCTCCTTGTACAAATGCAAGCTGGATCAAGTTTCTGTTCCTATCCCCGCTTCAAGAGCTGGCTTCGCTATTCCTGCTTTGTAACAAACTGAGCGAGGGAGAGCGCGTCAGCGCGGAGCGAGAATCCACAATCAATCACTCGCCACCCGCATTTCCATCCGCTCCGCACCGCACCTATCGCCTCTTCACGAGTGTTCCTTCTCCATTCGTACGAATCGCCCGCGTCGCATTTCGCCGTCAGCTTTTCTCAAGCCGAATTCGATCTCTCAACGATGGCTGCGCGTTCTCCGCGTCGCTGCTCGCATCAGCCGCCACGAACGACCTCTAGCCGCCCGCTCGCTGCGCGCTTGCTCCCCCTCTTAGCGCTCGTTTTTGCCGTGCTGATTCTGCCGCAAAATGCGCTGGCGGAGCATCCAGCGGGCTCGGGCTGGGGATGGAGCGTCGCGTCCGCCGTGTCGCAGCTGCTCTCGTCACTGCGCGCGGGAACCAGACCGCGCAGCCTACGACGACGACTGCTACTACTAGTACCGTCAAACCCGCTGCGACGGGCACGTGCAACCCATCGTCGCTGTCGGGTTACACGTCGTCGATCGCGCTCGCGAGCGGGTAAGAGCGTCGCTTAATGCTTAGGAGAACCTCCTCGTTCACCGTTCTTCTCAAGCCGCCCAGGTAGCGCGGCGCTTTCCCGCGCGATTCATGATCACGATCCCCGCTCTCTCTTGCCCAATCATCCCCCTCGAATCTCCCCCAGTCTCCGCCTGCATTGGGCGGTAACCGCCACGTCGACGATCCAGCTATCGGTCGAGGCGACTCGCAACCTTCCATTGGCCCTAAGTCTCCCCCTTCCCCCCCGCCCGCGCGTTGCCCCGAACCCCCCGAATCTCCCCCGAATCTCCCCCAGTCTCCGCCTGCACTGGGTGGTAACCGCCACGTCGACGATCCAGCTATCGGTCGAGGCGACTCGCAACCTTCAATTGTCCCTAAGTCTCCCCCTTCCCCCCGCCCGCGCGTTGCCCCGAACCTCCCCCGAATCTCCCCCGAATCTCCCCCAGTCTCCGCCTGCACTGGGTGGTAACCGCCACGTCGACGATCCAGCTATCGGTCGAGGCGACTCGCAACCTTCCATTGGCCCTAAGTCTCCCCCTTCCCCCCCGCCCGCGCGTTGCCCCCGAACCTCCCCCGAATCTCTCCCCGAATCTCCCCCAGTCTCCGCCTGCACTGGGCGGTAACCACCACGTCGACGATCCAGCTGGCCGTCGAGGCGACGCGGGCGAGCGGCGCGGGGACGGGGTGGTTCGCCGTGGGGTGGGCGTCGTCGCCGGGCGCGATGGCGCCGTCAGACGCGGTGATCAGCAACCTCGCGACGACGCCGGCGATTAAAGCGTACAAGATCACGGGATACTCCGCGAGCAACGTCGCGCCGACGACCGCGTTCACTCCGGGAAGCGTTTCGCTGACCGCGGGAACGACGACCACCGTCGCCAAGTGAGTGGCGGTGGTGATATATCGTGAGGAAACGGCTAGTAGTAGACGTACAGAATTCCGGGGTACCCGGCGCGTTCACCCCGGGGAGCGTGTCGCTGACCGCGGGACTGACGACCTCCGTCGCCAAGTGAGTGGTGGTGGTATGATTCCCGGAAAGGTGGGTTACGGGTATCTCAAACTAGGACATGACTCATGAGGTAGTACTGGCCCTCAGGAGGGAGTAGTACTCCCGCCCTTCACCCCTCAGGGCTTGAATATCTCTGGGCCTCCCCCAGAGATACTGCCAGTACTGCCAGTACTGCCAGTACTGCCAGTACCTACTCTTCTGACAGTACTGGCTTCCCCCCCCGCCCTCCCCGCCCCCCCCGCCCTCCCCGCCCTCCCGCCCTCCCCGCCCTCCCGTCCCTCCCCCGCGCACTCTTCCCCCGTCCCGTCCCACCAGGTTCACCCGGTTGACGGGCGACGGCTCGTCTGTGCCTGTGGACGTGGCAGAAGTGAATTCGCATATCTGGGCGTTCTCCGCTAATGCCATAGCACCGGCTTTCCGCCTCACCTGTCCCCCCCCCTCCCCCCCACTCCACTCCTCCCCATCCACCTCTCCCCCACCAGGTTCACCCGGTCTGCAGGTGACGGCTCATCGGTCGCTGTGAACGTGGCTGGAGTCAAGTCCCTCATCTGGGCCTTCTCCGCTCCGCCAGTGGCATAGTACCGGCTTTCCGCCTCACCTGTCCCCCGCCTCCCTCCCTCTCGCGCACCAGGTTCACCCGGTCAGCTGGTGACGGCTCGTCTGTGCCTGTGAACGTGGCAGGAGTGAACTCGCTCATTTGGGCCTTCTCCGCCAGTGGACTCAAGACCGTCGCCTACCACAGCACCCACTAGTGAGTGCTACTAGTACTAGCTCGCCATTAGACGTGTCACATGTCAAACAGCCACTCGCATTTGACTGAGCTGACGTGGATTTCTTTTCTGTTATTCATCTGAGCTGACGTGGATTTCTTTTCTGTTATTCATCTGTGCTGACGTGGATTTCGTTTCAGTCCTTTCTCACTTATTTTTCTCCCGTCGTCCGCCCTTCCCTCCGCCCCTCCCTTCCGCCCTCTTGCTCCCTCCCCCTCCTGCTTCCTTCAACCCCTCCCACCAATCGCAGTGGCAGTGCTGACGTGGACTTCTCCTGTGACGGCTCTCCTGTTGCCACCCCTGCGCCACCCCCTCCCTCGCCACCTCCTCCTCCTCCTCCACCCCTCCGCCCTCCTCCTCCACCCCTCCGCCCTCCTCCTCCACCCCTCCGCCCTCCTCCTCAACCCCTCCGCCCTCCTCCTCAACCCCTCCGCCTCCCGCCACCTCCACCCCTCCGCCCACCACCTCCGCACCTCCACCTCCGCCGTCCTCTTCTGGGGCAGGCTCCAACTGCCCCGCATCCACCCTCCCCGGATACACCTACCAGACGCAGCTCAAGGGCACCACGTGAGTGTTCTTTTCTTCTTTTTCTCCCTGTCTTCCTTACTGTCTTCTGGGGGAGGCTCCAACTGCCCTGCGACCACCCTTCCAGGATACACCTACCAGACTCAGCTCAAGGGCAGCACGTGAGTATTCCTAGAGTTTTTGTGGGCTTTCTTGTTATTTCCGCGTTCGCTCTCTCACCAGGTGGACTCACTCATGCCGCCTCTCCTGCCGTCCAAACCTCCATTGCCCCATTTCCCTTCTCGGCTCCTTCCCTTTCTCCCCCGCTCTCGCTCTCTCTCACTCTCTCCCTCTTCACTGCTTCTACCTTCCCTTCTTCTAACCTCACCCTGCTCCTCCACTGGAAAGCTCCTTCGCTTCGCAGCTCAATCCAGCCATCGAGGCCACAGCGACCCCACGAACGAGTAGCTGAATTCATTGCCTCTCTTGTCTCGTGCTTCACCCTCGCCCTTCTCCTCTGCCCTTCCCGGCCACCCTGCAGTTTTCTGCTCTGAAACTTCGTGCCCTGATCCCCCTTTGCCGTTCCCTTTCTCCCACAACCCTGCAGTTTTCTGCTCCACTGGAAAGCCTCTTCTGCCTCGCAGCTCGAACCAGCCATCAAAGCCACGGCTGCCACAGCAATGACCTGTTAATCTCAGCGCCTTTTTCGTCTGCACTGCTTCTCTTCCCTCATCTCCTTCCCCCCCCCCCCACCCCCCCCCCCCCCCCCCCCCCCCCCCCCCCCCCCCCCTCCTCCCTTCAGCCTGCTGCTCCACTGGAAAGCATCATCAGCCACCCAGCTCGATCTAGCCATCGAAGCAACGACCGCCCCGACAAAGAATGGCTGGATCGCCCTCGCATGGCCTAGGAGCGGCAAGATGGCTCCTTCTGATGCCGTCTCATACCCAGTACCCCTTTCTGTCCCGCTCTCCCCTTTTCCCTTCAGCCTGCTGCTCCACTGGAAAGCATCATCAGCCTCCCAGCTCTATCTAGCCATCGAAGCCACTAGCAGCCCGGCAAAGACAGGCTGGGTCGCCCTCGCATGGCCCAGGAACGGCAAGATGGCTCCTTCTGACGCCGTCTTTGGCAACATGGTGGGCGGCAGAGTGTTGGTGCTGTCTTAACCGGTCCTCCCCTCTGCCCTTCTGCCCTCTCTCTCCCCTTTCCTTCAGTTTGCTGCTCCACTGGAAAGCATCATCAGCCACCCAGCTCGATCTAGCCATCGAAGCCACTAGCGCCCCGGCCAAGAATGGCTGGATCGCCCTCGCGTGGCCCAAGGCAGGGAAAATGGCTCCTTCGGATGCCGTCTTTGGCAACATGGCGGGCGGTGGAGTGGTTGCCTCCTTCCAACGCCGTCCTATCCGGCCTGCACCCATCTCTGTCCGTCCCTCCCTCCCCCCTTCCCTTCAGTTTGCTGCTCCACTGGAAAGCATCATCAGCCACCCAGCTCGATCTAGCCATTGAAGCAAAATCAGCCCCGGCAAAGAACGGCTGGATCGCCCTCGCATGGCCCAAGGCAGGGAAAATGGCTCCTTCTGATGCCGTCTTTGGCAACATGGCGGGCGGCGGAGTGGCGGCGTATAAGATTGGTGGATACTCCATGGGCTCGATTCAGCGCACCACTGCTTTCAGCATTGGGACAGCTAACACCACCACCAGCACTTCTGGTTCTACGGTGATCCAGTGAGTTTCTGATGGGTTCTGTGTGGTTGTGTGCTGTGTCCCATGTGCTGTGTGCTGTGCTGTGTGGAGTGGCGGCGTATAAGATCGGTGGATACTCCATGGGATCGATTCAGCGCACCACTGCTTTCAGCATCGGCACCGCCAACACCACCACCAGCAGCACTTCTGGTTCTACGGTGATCCAGTGAGTTACCGATGGAAAGAGGGCTGTGTGCTGTGTGCTGCATGCGGTCTGCTGTGCTGTGCTGAGCTGTGCTGTGTGGAGTGGCGGCGTATAAGACCGGTGGATACTCATGGGGTCGATTCAGCGCACCACTGCCTTTACCATCGGGACTGCCAACACCACCACCACTGCTACCGGCTCCACAGTGAGTGAGTCCTTGCTATATATTTCTTCTTTCTTTCTTTCTTTCTTTCTTTTTTCTTCTTTCTTCCTTCCTTCCTTCCTTCCTTCCTTCCTTCCTTCCTTCCTTCCTTCCTTCCTTCCTTCCTTCCTTCCTTCCTTCCTTCCTTCCTTCCTTCCTTCCTTCCTTCCTTCCTTGCTTTCATTCTTTCTGTTTTCGTGTTAAGCAAGCAATTGGTGCTTTTTGATACACTGCACCTCCCACGCGCACTGAACCCCTTCGACTGCTCTCAGGTTCATCCCTCCCTCCTCTTCTGCCCCTCCCTCCTCCCCTGCCCATCCCTCCCTCTCTCGCTCAGGTTCTCCCGAACCCAGGGCACAGGTTCGGCAGCCAAGGTGCAGGTGGCAGGGAGCAACAGCCTGCTGTGGGCCTACTCTCCCTCGGGCTCCAAGAGCCTCGGCTTTCACGGCGGTGCATAGTGAGTGTTTTGAATATGCTTGTAATGAGTACGTATGGCATGGCATGGCAGCAGCCTCCTGTGGGCCTATTCCCCCTCGGGCTCCAAGAGCCTCGGCTTCCACGGCGGCGCATAGTGAGTGTACTGAGCTTGCTTATAACGAGTATGGTGGGTTCCTTTTATGGGGCATGCATGTATGTATGGATGGGACAGGGAGCAACAGACTGCTGTGGGCCTACTCCCTCTCGGGCTCCAGGAACCTCGGCTTCCACGGCCGTGCATAGTGAGAGTTTTTTTTTCTTCTTGTACGGGGTGTGATTGCCTATAGGGAGTATATACGGGGTTGTGGGTGCAGGGAGTAACGTCTGTAGGCCTACTCCCCCACGGGCTCCAGGGAGCCTGCGCTAGTTGGGAGTGTCTGCGCGTTGTCCGTAACAGCAAGTCAAGACTGTTGTCCTCTACGACCGTTCATTCCCTCTGTCCTTCTGTAACGTTCTATTTCCTCCCCCTTGTCTTCCCATGCTCTTGTTGTCCCTCCTGGTTCCCAGTGGCCGCATTACTGTTGACTTCTCTTGCCAGACCCTATCGTCTGGAGGGGGGTGGGGGTGGCAGGGGGTGGGGACATGGCGGCGATGGGGATGACGATGGTGACAGGTATGGTGGCGATCACGGTGGGAGGGGCGGGGGGCACGGCAATGGCAACGGCAATGGCAACGGCAATGGCAGGGGGAGGGGCAGGAACCATAACCGTTCCCGTAGGGCATAAGTATTGGGGCAGGGGCATTCGTAGTAGTTATTGACTGACATTTATGATGGATGTCTCGAAGTGCTGGAGCTGCAAGGGTACTAAGAGATGGGATATGATGCAAGATTGAGGGATTATGGTGTTGGATATTAGTTTTGCGGGTGGTGGAGGGAGTTGATTCTTAACCACCCTCAGTGGCATTTGCTTGCTGCGGATGGTGTTTAAGAATCTCCCTATGAACTTGTTGCTGAATGATATTTCTTAGAGCTTCTGATTTTACCACGACAACGTCTATTGAAAACTTAATGGGACCATGTTATGTAAAGATGCACAAGTGGAAGAGATCCATACAAAAGTGAGATATTGATATACGCGCACTTGAACAAAAGGTGTCGGCGACAGATAACGGGGCGAGCACCATAATGAAGAACGCGTGGGAGTCACAGTGTGGTAATCGTGTGTGGATTGAGTCCAGCCACGTGCTCGACTTCTCATTCTCCGTGAAATGACAGCTGTAACGAGTGCGACGCGAGGGAGTCCAGCACAGCGTTGGTCGATGCGCGCGCACGTTTCGGGTTGCTGCGATTCTTCCTTTCTGACGGAACAGGGGGAAGGTTGGGACAGGGGGGGAAGGTACTGTTGGAAAATCCTCTCTCGCCGTGGCTGGTTGGGTGAATCTGGCGTGTGTCCTACCTAACCGGCTCGTTCATAAACGTTTGATCACGGTTCAGAATGGTGCAACCTGGAAGCCGCTTTCACCTTTTGGAACCGTCCGGAACCACGAAGAATGAAGCGAAGTGTGACGTGGGGGTACGAACTGGGTTTGGGGGTTGTGGGGGAGGCATGAATTCCTCCAATGCTCCAGCCCCCAACCCAACCAACCCCAGTCGTCGTCCTCCCCTGACCTGACCTGACGGCGACTAGCAGCAACGTCGCAAGCCATTCGCGCGCGACGACGCGTCGTGCGACTTCGCACTCCTCCATTCCGTCATTTTCCTCAGTCGGCTGGTCGCAAACATTTCCCGCCGGTCGCTAGCCATTCTCCGTCGGTCGCTCGCGAGCGAGTCATTCACACCAGTTGGCTTCCCCTGTGTCTAGTACTATTTACCGAAGTAGTCCGAGTACGGCTGATAAATACCACAGCCACTTAGTGTGCCACGCCATCCACCCAACGCTCCGCTTCGCCCATTTTGATCGCCGCTCATTCCCTCCAATCCTGCCGCTCCGTCCTTTCCGATCAAGCCGCTCCGTCCTTTCCGATCAAGCCGCTCCGTCTTTCCCTGTCGTGCCGCTCGGTCCCCCTCGATCGAACAGTTCCGCCCGTCTTCTCCGACCAAACAGTTCCGCCCCGCGCGAATCACGGGCGCCACCAGCCTCTCTCGCGCAAAACAGCGCCGCGTTGTAGCGAATCTCACCGGACGAATCGCCATGGCATTTCGTCCGCAAGCGACGGCCTTTTTCCTACTAATACTGCTAGTATCATCGAGCGCATTCAGCGCCGTGAAAGCCGCGGCGTCCATCCATGACGCACTGCCGTTATCATCGAGCGAAGGGGAAAATAGTGACGGCGAACCGATTGGCGAAAACATTGGCGAAGGTCGCGGTCGCGGGCGTGTGCTGGTGAATCTGGTTACACCGCTGGCGACGTGCTCGCCGTCGTCGCTCGCGGGATTCTCGTCGTCTATCGCCCTCGGGTCAAAGTACGCGCTCTTTCTACCGGCTTTTGATGCCCCACCCCCTTTTTTTCAAACGATTTTTCCTTTTTTCAAATGATTTTTGGGGCACCTCAAAATCTATCGCCCTCGGGTCAAAGTACGCCCTCTTCTACCGGCTAGGCTACTTCTGAGACGTCTCGAAAGGCTTTCCACGACATAACGGTAGAGTTCCGAGGAAGCTTAGCATCTTCGACACGCTAACGCGACGGTTTTAAACCGACCCCCCAAAACGCTAACGCTAATCCTCGGTGCGAGCCCCGCTGCTCCTCCTCCCCTGATTGAAGCTCCATAGGTATACGGACTTCCAATGGAGTCGCGTTCCGGCTCCCTCGGTGTCGCCTTCTTCCTCCCGTCTTCCCCCGTCTTCCCCCGTTTCCCCAGTTTCCCCCGTCGCCTCCCCCTTCCCCCTTCCCCTTCCCCCGCTTCCCCTTAACCCAAAGCTCCATTGGAAAGTGACGACCAGCTCGCTGCTAGAGCTCACAGAAACGTCCACCGGGGCGCCGCCACTACCACACCCCGTGTGCTATGCTCCCCAATGCCCCGTACACCCTTCCCCCCCTTCCCCCGTCTCCTCCCTCCCGCCACTCCTCCTTTCCCCCTCCCCGCCTTCACCCAACTCCACCTTTCCATCCCCCTCTCCCCCTTCCCCCCAGCATGAGGCTCCACTGGAAGGTGGCGACCGGGTCGCTGCTAGAGCTCGCGGTAACAGCCACTGTGCCGCCGCTCCCGCACCGCGTTCCCGTCCCATCTCCCCGTTTTTCTCTTTCCCCCACCCTCTCCCCTTCTCCCGCAGCATGAGGCTTCACTGGAAAGTCGCGACCGGATCCCTCCTGGAGCTCGCGGTAACGGCCACCGGCGCCGCCGCTACCGGGTGGTTCGGCGTCGCGTTTTCTCAGTCCGGCGGCATGGTGAAATCCGACGCGATTATCGCGAATCAGGGCGGCTCGCCCGTCCCCGTTAATACGTACGCCGTTACGAGCTACTCGACGGTGAAAGCGACGACCGCGTTCAGCGCGGGCGGGAAGGCTTTCACGGGAGGAACAACGGCCACCATGAAGTGAGTGTGCTTGAGGGGGACGGACTATACCCGTTATTAGCTTCTCCGCTTGGCGCGCTAGTCAGGGCTTTCATGGGCGGAACGACGGCTACGATGAAGTGAGTGTTGGGAGGAGGAGGGGTAAAAGAGGTGAGGGCTCGCCCGTCCCCGTTAGTACGTACGCCGTTACGAGCTACTCGACGGTGAAAGCGACGACCGCGTTCAGCGCGGGCGGGAAGTCTTTCACGGGCGGAACAACGGCCACGATGAAGTGAGTGTTGGGGGGCACAGTGTACCCGTTATTAGCTTCTCCGGCATGGGGGGGCGGGCTTTCACGGGCGGGACGACGGCCACCATGAAGTGAGTGTGCTGGAGGGGGAGACCGCTGTGCCCGTTATTAGCTTATCCGTTTGGCGCCGGGAGTAGGTCGTTCAATCGCGGCACGGGAGAGAGAGGAGTTGCACCGGTGAACGTGCGGGGAAGCAAGAACATGTTGTATGCTCCACCCTCAGTTACACCCACACACTCATTCACACCGCACACCGACCCTCATACCCTTCGCTTCTTCCTCTCCCAGGTTTACTCGCAGCACGGGAGACGGCGGGGTGGCGCCGGTGAACGTGAGGGGCAGCAACAGCATGGTGTATGCTTATTCCAAGAGCGGCGCCAAGGCCATTGCTTACCACGGCTCGCACTAGTGAGTGCTGGGGACATGCAGGCGAGTGGCAGAGGCAGGTGGGTGGGACTGCAAGCACCTGTGCCGTGTTGTGCTGCATCTGACTGCTTTTAGGGCAACAGCATGGTGTATGCTTATTCCAAGAGCAGCGCCAAGGCCATCGCTTACCACGGCTCGCACTAGTGAGTGGTGCTGCCAGGTACATGTGGTCCTGTGCGGTGCGGTGCGGTGCGGTGCTGTGCTGTGCTGTGCTGTGCGGTGCTGTGCTGTGCTGTGCTGTGCTGGTCTGTGCTCAGCTTATTCCAAGAGCAGCGCCAAGACCATTGCTTACAATGGCTCGCACTAGTGAGTGGTGTGGGTCAGGCAGGTGGTGGGTGCTGCCAGTGCCAGGTACATGCAGTCCTGTACGGTGCAGTGCGGTGCGGTGCGGTGCAGTGCTTTGCTGCGCTGTGTGGAACCCTCACTGCTGTCGATTCCTCCTGCAACGGCTCCCCGTCGCTCCTCCCACAATCCTTCTTTCCCACCCCGGCTTACAATTCTTCGCCCTTACCCAACTTACCCCCCCACCCATTTCCCCCCCTTCCCCCACTTCCCCCCCTTCCCCCCCTTCCCCCTGTGGAATCTTCACTGTCGATTTCTCCATTGGAATTTTCTCAATTCGAAACGCAGCACAGGCCCGGATGCGACTTTTGAGTCGACTCAAAAGTCAACTCAAGAGTCGACTCAAAAGTCAACTCAAGAGTCGACTCAAAAGTCGAAACGCAGCACAGGCCCGGATGCGCGTGCGAACGTGTTTCGGCCAGCAAAGGCCTTCATCAGCGCACCCCACCCCACCCACTTCCCCACCTTCTCGCGTCCCTTCACTTCCACCTTCCACCTTTCACCTTCCACCTTCCACCTTCCACCTTCCACCTTCCACCTTCCACCTTCCACCTTCCACCTTCCACCTTCCACCTCCCACCTCCCACCTCCCACCTCCCACCTTCCACCTTCCACCTTCCACCTTCCACCTTCCACCTTCCACCTTCCCCCTTCCACCTTCCACCTTCCACCTTCCACCTTCCACCTCCCACCTCCCACCCAGTGGAATCTTCTCTGTTGATTTCTCCTGTAGCTACTCCCCGTCCCTTCCTCCACAATCTTATTCCCCCTTTTTCTCCCCCCTTTCCCCCCTTTCTCCCCCCTTTCCCCTTCTTCTCCCCTCTTCCCCCCTTCCCCCCCCCAGTGGAATCTTCACTGTCGACTTCTCCTGCAACGGCTCCCTGTCGCTTCCCCACAGTCTCACCCCCGTCCCCCTTTCCCCCCCACTCTTTCCCCCTTTTCTCCCCTCTTTCCCCCCTTCCCCCCCCCAGTGGAATCTTCACTGTCGATTTCTCCTGCAACGGCTCCCCCGTCGCTCCCCCTCCGCCCGCCACCAACCCCCCCCCTACTGGCGGAGCAACCACCCCCCCGCCTTCCCCCACTGGCGGAACAGGCACCCCCCCGCCTTCCCCTGCTGGCGGAACAGGCACCCCCCCGCCTTCCCCTGCTGGCGGAGCAGGTTCCACCCCGCCCCCGCCCATCACCAGCGCCCCCCCGCCCCCTCCGCCTCCCCCTTCCCCCTTCGCCACGGGTAAAGCCTGCCCCGCATCCACCCTCCCCGGATACGCCTTCCAAGTTGCTCTGCGCCCGCCCAAGTGAGTGACAACCTTGCTCCCTCCTCCCCCCGCTGCTGCAAATGTGTACTGTCTACCTAGGAAGTTCCCCCTGTCCCCTCCGCCTCCCCCGTCTTCCTTTGCCACGGGTACAGCCTGCCCCGCATCCACCCTCCCCGGATACGCCTTCCAAGTCGCCCTGCGCCCGCCCAAGTGAGTCTAGGTTGCTTGCCCTGCTCCTTGTCTGTCTGTCTGTTTGTGCCTGGCTGCTGCGTCCCCCCTGCCCCGCGTCCACCCTCCCCGGATACGCCTTCCAAGTCGCCCTGCGCCCGCCCAAGTAAGTAAAATCTTTCTCCCTCCTCTCCCCGCTGCTGCAAATGTGTACTGTCTACCTAGGGAGTTCCCCCTGCCTCCTCCTCCTCCCCCTTCCGCCTTTGCCACGGTTACAGCCTGCCCCGAATCCACCCTCCCCGGATACGCCTTCCAAGTTGCCCTGCGGCCGCCCAAGTGAGTGACACCTCCTTTTTCTCCCTCTGCTCCTGCTATCCTCCTGCTATCTCTGCTTCTGCAAATGCCTACTTTCTTTCTAGGAGAGCTCCCCTCTCCGTCTTCCCCCCCTTCTCTCCTTTGCCACGGGAACAGCCTGCCCCGCGTCCACCCTCCCCGGATACGCCTTCCAAGTCGCCCTGCGCCCGCCCAAGTGAGTAACACCTTCCGTCTCTCTCTCTTTGCGGATGCCTCTCAAACGTCACTGGGTGTAACCCTTGAGTCGACTCAAAACTCATCTCTGCTTTTCCTCGACACATCCCCTTCAATCTCCCCGCCCTCTCTTCCACCCCCGACCAGTCTCTTCCTCCACTGGACCCCAGTGTCAGCCACGCAGGTAGACATGGCGATAGAAGCCAAGGCAGCAGGCAGGGCCAAGGACGGCCCCAGTCTACCTAAAGCACATCTCCTCTCTGCTCACCTCTTCCCCTTCCGCCCTTCACCCCCTTCACCCCCACCTCCCCAGCCTCTTCCTCCACTGGACACCCGTTTCAGCCACACAAGTAGACATGGCTATTGAAGCCAAGGCAGCAGGCAGGGCCAAGGACGGCCCCAGTCTACCTAAAGCACATCTCCTCTCTGCTCACCTCTTCCCCTTCCGCCCTTCACCCCCTTCACCCCCACCTCCCCAGCCTCTTCCTCCACTGGACACCAGTGTCAGCCACACAAGTAGACATGGCTATTGAAGCCAAGGCAGCAGGCAGGGCCAAGGACGGCCCCAGTCTACCTAAAGCACATCTCCTCTCTGCTCACCTCTTCCCCTTCCGCCCTTCACCCCCTTCACCCCCACCTCCCCAGCCTCTTCCTCCACTGGACACCCGTTTCAGCCACACAAGTAGACATGGCTATTGAAGCCAAGGCAGCAGGCAGGGCCAAGGACGGCCCCAGTCTACCTAAAGCACATCTCCTCTCTGCTCACCTCTTCCCCTTCCGCCCTTCACCCCCTTCACCCCCACCTCCCCAGCCTCTTCCTCCACTGGACACCAGTGTCAGCCACACAAGTAGACATGGCTATTGAAGCCAAGGCAGCAGGCAGGGCCAAGGACGGCCCCAGTCTACCTAAAGCACATCTCCTCTCTGCTCACCTCTTCCCCTTCCGCCCTTCACCCCCTTCACCCCCACCTCCCCAGCCTCTTCCTCCACTGGACACCAGTGTCAGCCACACAAGTAGACATGGCTATTGAAGCCAAGGCAGCAGGCAGGGCCAAGGACGGGTGGATCGCCCTTGGGTGGTCGCCCAAAGGAAAGATGTCGCCCGCTGATGCTGAGATGTCAACCTCTCAGTCAACCTCTCACTCAACTCAGAAGTTTTCTTTCCTCCCTTCCTCCTTCTTCCTCCTTCCCTGCCCTTCGTTTTCCCCCCACACTCTCTCCAGCCTTTTCCTCCACTGGACACCAGTGTCAGCCACACAAGTAGACATGGCTATTGAAGCCAAGGCAGCAGGCAGGGCCAAGGACGGGTGGATCGCCCTTGGGTGGTCGCCCAAAGGAAAGATGTCGCCTGCTGATGCTGTTATTGGGAACCTGGGTGGCGGGCTTGTAATGCCGTATGTCATTAAGGGGTACAACATGGGCAAGATTCAGGCCACGTCAGCGTTTTCCCTTGGGAGTAACGCGGCGACGGTCACTACCGCAGCAAACGATACCATTATCACGTGAGTGGGGGATGCTGTTCTAAACCCCAACCTGGGTGATGGGCTTGTAATGCAGTATGTTATTAAGGGGTACAGCATGGGCAAGATTCAGCCCACGTCGGCTTTCTCGCTCGGGAGTAACTCAGGAGGGCTTGTAATGCCGTATGTCATTAAGGGGTACGGCATGGGGAAGATCATGCCGGCGGCGTTTTCCCTTGGGAGTAACGCGGCGACTGTCACTACCGCGACGAATGATACCATTATCACGTGAGTGGGGGATGCTGTTCTAAACCCCAACCTGGGTGACGGGCTTGTAATGCCGTATGTCATTAAGGGGTACGGCATGGGGAAGATCATGCCGGCGGCGTTTTCCATCGGGAGTAACGCGGCGACGGTCACGACCGCAGCGAATGATACTATTATCACGTGAGTGGGGGATGCGTTATGAGGATGCTGTACTTATGCTGATAAGGGGTACAGAATGAGAGCTGCGGCCAACGACGCGATTATCACAACGAGGGTGCTGCAAGTAAGGATATCCGATGTATGCTAATACGGGGTACAGAATGGGAGTTGCAACCAACTGCTCTCTATGACTATGTATCTTCACTCCCCATCCCACTCCCATCCCACTCCCCATCCCACTCCCCATCCCACTCCCCATCCCACTCCCCGTCCCACTCCCCATCCCACTCCCCATCCCACTCCCCATCCCACTCCCCATCCCACTCCCCATCCCACTCCCCATCCCACTCCCCTTCCCACTCCCCATCCCACTCCCCATCCCACTCCCCTTCCCACTCCCCATCCCACTCCCCTTCCCACTCCCCATCCCACTCCCCATCCCACTCCCCATCCCACTCCCCTATCGCCTGCTGCCTCCTCATCTCCTAACAGCGTCTCTCGCATCAAGAATTTGGGAGTAGTCACGCATGCAGGCCTTCCTTCGCTCGTCTGGCCCCCCCCCGCTCACTCTTCCCCCACTCTCCTTTCCCTCCGCCAACCATTCCCAACAGCTTCTCTCGCATCAAGAACTCGGGAGTGGTCACGTGTTCCCCCATGGCAGGCCTGACTAAACTCATCTATGCCTTCTCCCGCTCTCACTCTCCTCCCCCCTCCAACCATCTCCTAACAGCTTCTCTCGCACCAAGAACACGGGAGTGGTCATGCGATTCCCCATGGCAGGCCTGTCTAAGCTCGTATGGGCCTTCTCCCGCCCAGGCTCTCCCTCGCTTTCCTTCCACGGCAACAGCTAGTGAGTGCTTTTACCCCTCTCGCCTGCCCTTCTCTTTTTTCCTGTTCATGAATATGCAGCCTCATATCCCCCTAAAATGGAAGGCCTTCCTTATTTTTTTCTTTTGCTAACTTCTTTCCCTCGCGGGTGCTCCTGTTTCGCTGGACTGACTCCAGTGGCACTGCAAAGGTGGATTTCTCGTGCCGGTATGCTCCCTCTAGCAAGGCGGAGGAGGATTACGGAGATGAGGATGACGAGGATAATGATGACAATGACGATGACGACGATGATGATAAGAGGCGCAAAAGGCATTAGAATAAGCGGCACTTACCGCATGTTTGATTTCTTTCTAAAACGGCATGGAGTTTGTTATTGCTTCATTACTGAGCATGGCGTGGCAGTGGCGCCTTGCAGATGTTATTTGATTTTGAGGGAAGGAGTGCTGCCTGAAAGCCACATGTTGGGATCCAGTAGTATTACTTCGTTTTTTGTTGTGTAGGTTCAATGGCTATTTATTTGCAATGCTGAAGAGGTTTTGCCCTGCGTCGTTATCGGTGTACTCAACGAGGGGTCTCGGCCCTTGCCAGCCAGCACGATTTACGCGCCGCACATCCACCCATCTCAAGGGGTTTCATTTCATCACGGACGTGGAGGTCAACGAATCGGGTCGGCGGCGGGTATTGCCGAATTTTCATGTTGCTTGCAGATTTCGAATCCGCGGCTCGTCTTTGATGCTTTCGTTTCAACCAATGCACAAGTGTGCTTTCCTGTGTTCACTTCCGCTTCGCGCTGCCCAACTTTAAAAAACAACCTTGTTCCGCAAGAACCGAAATTTGCTTCCGAAACAATGAACTGGCGTGGGGGGCGGATGGTTGACGGATCGCGCTGTGCGACAAATTCAAGACTAACCCGACCGTACCTACAAATTCACGACTGTACTTTGCTCCCCGCACCTGCCCGTAAAATCGCAACCACATTCACGAATCACGACGACCCGTCGCAGTCCTCCATTGTCTCCTCCTGTCGCACACAGCACGACGACTATTCGACAAACCTGTTTTGCTTGCCGGGGACAATGCACGCACGTCGCACACACTCGGCTGTGCTGCAGTCTGGGCCGCACAGGTAGCCGCCAGCTGCCCCTTCCCCACTAAACACCTTTTCCATGCCTTCTGTTTCCAAATGCCCTGCCCTGCCCCCCGTCGAACAGCCCTGGCCCGTTCTCGCACAGCCCCGGAACGACGGTCACTCGCAATCCTACCCTGCTCGCTGGGACAGCGATGATGGGGCATCTCCCAATTTGCCCTGCCCAGCTTCATCTCTGGTCTCGTCTCGACTCGACACGACACACACATTCCCTACAGCAATTCACACGAGCCAGGACTGCCATGCTGTGCCGAGCCGAAGCATTTCCGAGGGCAAATTTTCGTAATGAAAGCACTCTGGAATTGAAGGGGTCTTTTCTACTTCGGGAATAACAGGCAGAGCCCACATGGATCCTTCAGAACACAAAGACTGAGCTTGACAGCGATTCAAATTTCCTACGCCTTCGATCTGTTATCACTGCTAGCGCAGCGGCTGGCGCTTCACGAGACGTCATGTTCCAATCGTGTGACTCGCTTGTAGGACATCCTTCAATAGCGCGTATCCACCATTCGTCATCAAGGAAAAAATCAGCAGCGTCGCTACGCAGTGTAGAATCACTACGAGTTCGAACGAATGAGGAAGCTTCATCGCATTCACCAGCGTTAGACATTGGAATGGCCGAAGCCTCAACTACCTCAACGCTCTTACCTTTCTCAGCTTCGTCAGTTAGACGCTTGGATGAACATTCCCTTACGAGTTGTTTGGTTGACGAATTACGAACGCACGACTCCGTTCAGACCGTACGGAGCATAAAATCCAAGCAGCGTCTCCATTACAGCGCGTCTTTTGAGGCGCCTCAAAAGCAACGTTTCCACCGTAGCGCGGCTCGGCCATGGTTCTTAAACTCCGCAGCTTTATGCGTCTGCACGCTAATCTGCATCGCCGTTTTCCAGCCGACAATCGCGGCTGCGGCGCCTCCGGCCGGACCGCGTGCGGCGGCGGCGGCGGCGGATGCGGAAGTGGCGGCGGTAGAGGCGAGTTTCGGGTGGCACGGGGACCCGTTGGGCCATTTGGACGGTAGCGAGGGCGCCGCGTTCGTCGCGCCGTGTTTGCCGTCAGGGCTGGCGGGATTCAGCCATTCGGTGGTTCTATCAGAGGCCGGGTAAGGGCGTGTGTGCTAAGAATGGGCCAAGAGAGTAATTGCAAACAAGGGGGTGATTGAAGCGAAGGTAACGGGACACAAGCGAACTGAGGCCTGTGTTTATCGGCCGGAAATGGCGGGATTTAGCCACTCGGTGGTGCTCTCGGAGGCCGGGGTAAGGGCGTGACTGAATCGAAGGGAAGTGAGTGTGCTCGCAACTACCACAAGTACCCCCACATCCCCGATTTCTCCCTATTTTCCCTATCCTTCCCACTCTTCAGTCTACTCAACTGGGTGCGCCTCAACCTGCGCTTCTTCCTCGGGTTCGCGCTCGAGGCGCGCTTCAACATCTGAGATGCTCTCTTCCCCAATCTCCCCCCCCGTTGCTCCTATCTCTCCCGCCCATCTTCTCCCCCTCATCTCCACCCCAGTCGCATTCTTCACTGGGTGCACCACAACCTCCTCTTCCTCGATTTTGCCGCGCTCAATGCGCGCTTCAAACTCAACTTACAAACCACCCCCTCTTTCCCCTGGCCCCCTCCCCTCCTCTCCTTCCCGCCGTTCCTCCCTCCCCACCCGCTCTCTCGTCTCCGAGCAGTCTCATCCTCCACTGGGTGCGCCGCAACCTCCTATTCCTCAAGTTCGCGCTTGAGGCGCGCTTCGGCATCTGAGCGCCTCTCCCCCCGCAATTCCCCCTTGTTGCCCCTTTATCTTCCCCCCAGTATCGTTCTCCACTGGGTGCGCCGCAACCTGCTCTATCTCGAGTTCGCGCTCGAGGCGCGCTTCGGCAGCGGCGCGGAGAATGGTTGGATCGCCGTGGGATGGTCGCACGACGGTCGCATGGTCCCCAGCATGGCCATCGTCGGCTCTCCGGCCGGCACTGCCGCCCAGAACCCGGCCGGCACTGCCGCCCAGAAAACACCGGCCGGCCGCGCCGCCCAAAACCCGGCCGGCACTGCCGCCCAAATCCCGGCCGGCAGCGCCGGACAAGCCCCGGGCGGCAAGGGGATTGGTCCGGGCAGCGGAGTGGGTGTTCTGGGCGGCGCGGCTGGCGTGGCGTCGTATGCTATTAGCGGGTATAAGCGGGAGGATGTGCAGTTGCTGGTGGAAGCCGCGGGGAACGGGGGAGGAGGAGAGGTGGGGAGTGGTGGAGAGGGGTGGAGCATTTACACGTCACCTCGAGGGTCGACAGTGATGCGGTGAGCAGGGGTGGGGGATGAGTCAGCTGGGGCGTGTGACGAGTCAGCTGGGGCGTGTGACGAGTCAGCTGGGGCGTGTGATGAGTCAGCTCTTTTCTCCCTCCCGCACCTCTTCCATTGCTCTGTATTTTTTGTTTCCATTCTCACCTTAGCTTCTTCCCCAATCTTCGAACTTCTTCCCTCCCTTACTTGCATCTCCCCATTCCGACGTTTCAGTTTGCTGGCGAATTGAGAATTGAAACACAAAACCTCTCTCCCCTCCTCCTTCCCATCACCTCCTTTCACCTCTCGCATTCAAAATCTCCTTCCTCGCTCTTCCTTTCTTTCTCCCCGCCCTCTCCCTCTCCCATCGCCTCCCCTTGTTTTCAATCCAGCTTCTCCCGCAGCCTCGTCTCAAACCCACCTATCCTCAATACAAGCACAACCGGCATAAGCACAGCAACGGAAGGGAGCCCCTCTAGCGAGCCGACGTACAGCATGAGTCACCACGTGATCTGGGCCTACTCGGACAGACGAGAGGACGTGCTTCGGTACCATGGCAAGAACAGGTGGGTGCCTGTTCACTTGAGATGAGTCTGCTGTCACTTGTACAGGGGAAGGGAGCCCCTCTAGCGAGCCGACGTACAGCATGAGTCACCACGTGATCTGGGCCTACTCGGACAGACGAGAGGACGTGCTTCGGTACCATGGCAAGAACAGGTGGGTGCCTGTTCACTTGAGATGAGTCTGCTGTCACTTGTACAGGGGAAGGGAGCCCCTCTAGCGAGCCGACGTACAGCATGAGTCACCACGTGATCTGGGCCTACTCGGACAGACGAGAGGACGTGCTTCGGTACCATGGCAAGAACAGGTGGGTGCCTGTTCACTTGAGATGAGTCTGCTGTCACTTGTACAGGGGAAGGGAGCCCCTCTAGCGAGCCGACGTACAGCATGAGTCACCACGTGATCTGGGCCTACTCGGACAGACGAGAGGACGTGCTTCGGTACCATGGCAAGAACAGGTGGGTGCCTGTTCACTTGAGATGAGTCTGCTGTCACTTGTACAGGGGAAGGGAGCCCCTCTAGCGAGCCGACGTACAGCATGAGTCACCACGTGATCTGGGCCTACTCGGACAGACGAGAGGACGTGCTTCGGTACCATGGCAAGAACAGGTGGGTGCCTGTTCACTTGAGATGAGTCTGCTGTCACTTGTACAGGGGAAGGGAGCCCCTCTAGCGAGCCGACGTACAGCATGAGCCACCACGTGATCTGGGCGTACTCTGATCGACGGGAGGACGTGCTTCGCTATCATGGCCGGAATAGGTGCGTGCCTGTATAGTATAGAGACGGGGTTACGTGGGTGCATGTGCGGAACAGGGGAGGGGAGCACCTCTAGTGAGCCGACGTACAGCATGAGCCACCACGTGATCTGGGCCTACTCCGACAGACGGGAGGACATGCTTCTATACCATGGCAAGAATAGGTGGGTGTATGTGGCCTCGTTATAAGCACACCTCGTTACCCCTCAACCGAACCATCATCTCACCCTCCCACCTCCCTTCCCTCACAAGGGGTCTGCCTTTGTGGGCTACCTGTGTGAGTTGAGTTGAGTTGACTAGTCAACTCAAAAGTCAACTCACAGGGGGTCTGTCTTTGTCGACTACCTGTTTGAGCTGAGTTGACTTTTGAGTCAACTCAAAAGTCAACTCACGGGGGGGGTCTTCCTTTTGTGAACTACCTGTGTGGGCTGCTCACCTCGCCTCATTCCCCCTCTCTGTCGCCCTCTACCCCCTCCCCCCTCCCCCTTTCCCGCCCACCAGGGGCTCAGTCTTCGTGGATTACATGTGCGACCTGCTCGCCTCGCCTGCAAATGTCCTCCCCCTCTCTTTCAAAACCCCCCTGCCATCCTACTACTCTCACCACCTCACTTCCCCCCCACCAGGGGCTCAGTCTTCGTGGATTACTTGTGCGACTTGCTCGCCTCGCCTCGCCTGCCCCGCCAGTCCTGCCTTCCTGCTCACCTTGCTACTCCCCATCCTTTGTTCACACCCTCTCCCCACACTCTTTCCCCACCAGGGGTTCTGCCTTTGTGGACTACATGTGCGACCTGCTCGCCTCGCCTGCCTGGCAACTTCCTCGCTTTACCCAAACCCACCTTTCTTCGCACCTTTCCCCCTTCGCCTTCCCCCTTCGCCTTTCCCCTCGCTCCCAGGGGTTCTGCCTTTGTGGACTACATGTGTGACCTGCTCGCCTCGCCTGTTTCCTTTCCCCTTCATTCCCCCTCCTTTCCCCGTGCCCTCCTCCTTTCCTCCTCCCCCCCTTTCTTTCTCCTTCAGAGGCTCCGCCTTTGTGGATTACATGTGCGACCTGCTCGCCTCGCCTGCCCGGCAGCTCCCTCGCTTTACCCAACCCCACCTTTCCCCCTTCGCTTCGCCTTCCCCCTCCCCACTCAGGGGTTCTGCCTTTGTGGATTACATGTGCGACCTGCTCGCCTCGCCTGCACGCCAGTCCTGCCAGCAGTCCACCCTGCCCGGCTACACCTGCATGCTACAGCTGCAGGGAGACAGGTGAGGTGCTGTAGCAGTAGCGGCAAGGCTGTAGAACACTTAAGGTCGCAGCTTCCCTGCCAGACATCAACACTTCCCGGCTACACCTGCATGCTACAGCTGCAGGGAGACAGGTGAGCCGCTGTCGTGTTCCTGCATGAAACAGGTGATGCTACAGCCGTGACAGGAAGACCTGCCAGCCCTTCTCCCACGTTCCCCTCCCTTTCCCCCTCCTTTCCCCCCGTTCTCCCCCAACCCTCCAGCTTCAGCCTCCACCAGCATCTCACCCCCTCCTCCCTTCTACCTTTCCTTACGTGCCCTCTCTTCTCTTTCTCCCCTCTCTTGGCCCCCTCCCCTCACCCCACCCCACCACCCCCCCCTCCCCCCACCCCCCAGTTTCACCCTTCACTGGCACCTCACGCCCTCCTCTCTCCTCCTCGCTGCTGACGTGGCAACCGTTGGTTGGGTGGCTCTCGGTTGGTCCGAGGACGGCAAGATGGCCGGCAGCGAGGCGGCCATTGGGAACCTGCCACGTGGCACCAGCATGGCAGGCGGCGGTGCTGACGTGGCAGGAAAGGAGGAGGAGCAGGCCGTGCGGACGTTCCTGATTGGTGGATACGAGAGGAGCGCTATTCGCCCGGCTCCTCTGAAGGTCACTGTGACTAATGCGAGTGTGACAACAACGAGCAACAAAAGGACTGTAATGAAGTGAGTAATTCGTGTTGTACAAGGTTTATGAGAATTGGCTTCTCTTGTCATTTGCGTCTGGCTTGCCTTGGCTTTTCACCAAAACCCCCCCCTCCCTCCACCACCCCTTACAGGCTTCCTTTTCCCCCAACCCCATTAGTCCCCGCCACCATTGCCCCTCCTCCTCACACTCCTCTAGTTCCCCCCCTTCACCTCTTCTCCCCATAGTGCAGGTTCAAGCAGCCTTTAGTGACCAGAGAGCTGCCCTCACCACCTTTTGAGATGCCTCAAAAGCAGCCTTTACTTACCGGGTTGTCAGAGGTCCACTGGTGATCCCCGATTGATCCTAGGGAAGGGTTACAGGCACGTTGGCCTGGGGGGTTATGGGCGCACTCACCCGCTACACAAACAAGCCCTTTTATCCCAGTGGTTAGTGGCTGGGATTCTGACATGGTATCAGAGCGAAGGTCTCGGGTTCGAATCCCGGTGTGTGCCCTCGGGCATCCCAGTGCGGGAGGGTGTCAGAGGTCCACTGGTGATCCCCGATTGATCCTAGGGAAGGGTTACAGGCACGTTGGCCTGGGGGGTTATGGGCGCACTCACCCGCTACACAAACAAGCCCTTTTATCCCAGTGGTTAGTGGCTGAGATTCTGACATGGTATCAGAGCGAAGGTCTCGGGTTCGAATCCCGGTGTGTGCCCTCGGGCATCCCAGTGCGGGAGGGTGTCAGAGGTCCACTGGTGATCCCCGATTGATCCTAGGGAAGGGTTACAGGCACGTTGGCCTGGGGGGTTATGGGCGCACTCACCCGCTACACAAACAAGCCCTTTTATCCCAGTGGTTAGTGGCTGAGATTCTGACATGGTATCAGAGCGAAGGTCTCGGGTTCGAATCCCGGTGTGTGCACCTCGGGCATCCCAGTGCGGGGGGGTGTCAGAGGTCCACTGGTGATCCCCGATTGATCCTAGGGAAGGGTTACAGGCACGTTGGCCTGGGGGGTTATGGGCGCACTCACCCGCTACACAAACAAGCCCTTTTATCCCAGTGGTTAGTGGCTGGGATTCTGACACGGGTGACTATTGAGTCGACTCAAAAGTCACCTCTCACCACCTTTTGAGTCGACTCAAAAGTCACCTCTCACCACCATTTGAGACGTCTCAAAAGCGCCCTTTCACCACCCCTCTCCGCCCCCATCACCATTCCCTCGACTCCAACCCACTCTCCCCCGTCTCCCCCTCCCCCTCACACCCCCCATCTCCCCACCCTGCAGGTTCGAGCGGCCTCTAGTGAACGGGGAGCTGCCTCTCTCCTCTGCTGACGTGGCAACCATTATCTGGGCGTATTCTGATGAAGGTTCCAAGAAGCTCACCTTCCACGGAAACAACAGGTGAGGTTCTGAGAAGCTTCTTGAGTAGTGGCAAGGGAGAGTGTGCGCTCAATCGGAACAACTCTGAAGTGATTCTGCTTGCTATAGTAAAGGCTGAGAAGGATTCCCTGTATAATGAAGTATTTCATTTTTACATTATATATTCACATATATTTTATATCATGTTCCACATGAACATGCTAATCGAGGCTGTCTACAGAGGGGTATAAAGAAAGTGTTTACACAGGGGAACAATCACCTCCTCCCCTTCCCCTCCTCTGTTAATCTCCCCATACTCTGTTCCGCCCTCTCCCCCTCTGCTTCAACCCCCCCTAACAGGGGAGCAGTGCCCATCGACCTTGTCACAGGAGAGTCCATCACCTTCCCCCCTTCCCCGTCATCCCCCTCTGCCCCCATTGTTCTGCCCTCCCCCACCCCCTCACCCTCCCAAGGGAGCAGTGTCCATCAACCTCGTCACAGGGGAGTCAATCACCGCTCCCTCCCCCCCTCCTCCCCCTTTCCTACACCCCCTTTTCTGCCCCATTTTCCTGTCCCCATTCAGGGGTTCAGTGTCCGTCAACCTCGTCACAGGGGAGTCAATCACTGCCTCCCCCTCCCCATCCTCCCCCTCCTCTGCCTCTCCCCCTCCGCACTTCAACAAAGCAGCCATCATAGCCCATGCCATCGCCCTCATCACCGCTTTCCTCATCCTCATGCCCTCCCTGCCCCCTTTGCCACCCCCCTTTCCTTCCCTCTTTTCTGCCCTCTTTCCCACCCCCTTTTCAGAGGTTCAGTGTCTATCAACCTCGTCACAGGAGAATCAATTACTGCATCTCCATCCCCCTCCTCCCCCTCCTCCGCCTCTCCCCCGCCGCACTTCAACAAAGCAGCCAACATAGCCCATGCTGTCTTCCTCATCACTGCTTTCCTCATCCTCATGCCCTCCGCCATCCTGCTTGCCCGGATATGCCTCGTGAACTTTCCTGGAAACGACGAGGACTGTCGTACCAGTACCAGCACTACCAGCAGCAGTGGTGGTTTCGGTACAGTCACGTTGGGTACAGTCACACACACTGGCCCGCTTCGGCTTGCTGAAGCCAACGCCCATCTAGATGCCAGCATGGCTAGTTTCGCCCATGCTGAGTCAGCCTCGCTGCGTGCTGACGTGGCGGGTGCACAGGATGCCACGTCAGCACGTGGAACCCAGCAGCGGCGACAGGAGGGGGGAGATTTTACTGTGCAGTTGCAGCAGAGCCGAGCATTCTGGTTTGCATGGCATAAATACCTCCAGCTGGCTGCGCTCGTCTGTATCTGCGTCGGGTGCATCACAGCATTCGTCTCATCTGGGGCTCACGGGTTCAGTCACGCCCACGCCTGGGTCGGCATTGCTGTTCTCGTCCTCCTCCTCGTCTTCCAACCACTCGTCATTTTCCTCCGGCCGCTCAACAACAGGAATGACAGCATCGACCAATCGCGCTTTGCCACGTGGACAAGGAGCACGTGGCACTGGGTGCACTGGGCGGTTGGGATTGCGGCGGTGGTGATGGGATGGGCGAATATATTCCTCGGAATGAACCTCTACTTCAGCTTCATCGGAAGTGACCCATTTGTGAGTTTGTCATTTCTTTTTCAGTTTTGTGGCAGCGTGTAGTTCGTAGGGGCATTTCCTTGTGTCGAAAGTACTGTTCGTGGCTCTTGCCCTTGTTATATTTATTTTGCTATGTTTCCATTCCTTCTTATGCTGGTTGAGCTAATGCTTCTTTCTCCATTGTGCTGCTTTGCAGGGCCTTGAAGCATTTTTTGGCATCATAATGGCAGTGTTTGTCATTGTGTACATGCTCTTCATATGCCGCGACCAGCTTGAAAAAAGCAAACTAGACGGGCCTCAGTACAGTGCATATGCTAGCCGGGCGTAACAACATCCTTTTGATTTGATTTGACATGTTTTGTTCTGTATAAACATCTCCAAAATTGCCGAACCATAACTATCCAGCAATGTAATTTGCACTGTTATGAATCTATCTCCCGTCGTCTGAGGCTGGTTGCGAAGCAGTTGTTAGGGAGGACCCATATCGAGAGCCCTTGGGATTGTCGGCAATTTGCCCCCAACCCAACCAACCACCAAGCAGCAGGCAAGGGTGGTGCCTGGATGGTACCTTTGGGATTGTCGGCAATCGTTCACTAGCATCTTCCAGCTGGGAATGCTGGTAAAGCAGCAGCGATATGAAGGTTACTTTTTAGGTATCGTTGAAAAACCACTCTGGTGTTCGCTTCGGGTGCTACTGGTCGAGGCTGGACGGCCCGTTTGTCGTTTACCCTCACCATGGCGAATCGCACACATTCCGCGAATCGCGCACATTCCGACCGCATTCACCGTCGACGCTTCGTATTGCCCCTCCTCCCGCTCTTTCAGCTGCTGCTCGTCCTTTTCGCTTCGCATTCACATATTATACGCGCATTCGCCGCGTCCCACGATAACAGGAAGAACAGCGATATTATCGTGGGACAGGCTAAGGAGAGCAGCAGCACCGTACAGGGACTCGGAAAAGGGAGGTTTCCTGGAAGCTTCGAGAATCAGGATGGCGTGTTGAGCCTGCTTCCAGACAGTGCCGGCGACCAACGGGAGGCGCGCACTGGCGGTTTGAGGATGTTGCAAGAAACCAGCCAATGGACGACGGACAGCAGCGTGTTACAGGTGGCGCGATGCCAGCCGTCCACGTTGGGCGGGTACACGCACTCCACGCAGCTCTCCACCAACGGGTGAGTGCCACGTGGCATAGGGTTTTGTAATCGCCACCTGGCAGGTGACTGAAAATCCGCATTGTTAATCTTTTTCCTCCTCCGCTTTTTGCCCTTTCCTCTGTTTCTCTCAGTTGTTTCTCCTCGTCTGTTTCTAGTCTGTTTCTCCCCATCGTCGTCCTCTTGCCCGCATCTTATTTCCCCACCCACTTTCCACCTTCACCCTCTCCCACTCTCTCACACTCTCTCACGCTCGCTCGCACTCCTACTCTCCCACACTATCCCACCCTCTCGCACACTCATACTCTCGCACATTCTCCCACGCTCTCTCACACTCATACTCTCCCACATTCTCCCATACTCCCCCAACTCCATCTCTCCTTCTCTAGCCTTCTCCTCCACTGGACCGTCCACCCTGCCACGTCATCAGTCCACATGGCACTAGAGGCCAAGCCAGAGAGCGGCGCAGAGGCAGGCTGGCTTGCGATTGGCTGGTCGTGGGACGGGCGAATGGCAGGCAGCGATGCGATTCTAGCCAACGCGGCAGGCGGGGGGTTGAAGGCTACAGGGCCGCTCATGGCCGTGCATATAGCGGGGTACTCTGTAGAGGGGATGAAGCGGATGGAGCACGGGCTTTCATACAGCAAGACGAACTGGAGTGTGACTGTGAGCCCAAGGGGGTCGACTATTGTCAGGTGAGAAGGGAGAGGGGAGGGGAGGGAGGGGATGGGGAATGGGGAGGGAGAAATGGGGATGGGGATGGGGATGGGGGTGGGGATGGGGATGGAGATGGGTATGGGGGATGGGGATGGGGATGGGTGTGTTGTGAGCAATGTGAGGTAGATATAGGCATGGGGGTGAGAGGGGATGCAGTGGCTGCAGCTATTCCCGCAGGTTCACCTGTAATGTACTTCTCTCTCCTCTCTTCACTATCAGCAGCATTGAACGGAATCTAAACCCTCCTTCCTCCACTCTGTGTTCCAATCCCTTCTAGTTATCCTCGCTTCAGGTTCATGAGAACAGCTGGTGATGTAGCAGCGGTGCCTCTGGCCCTCGATGCCTCCAACGTCATTCTCTGCCTGCTCCTTGCGCCCCTCCCTGCTCCCACCACTCCCCCTGCGCCGTCCCCCTCTTCTCTCCCATCAGGTTCAATCGGGCAGCAGGCGACGTAGCGGCGGTGCCTCTGGCACTAGAGGCCTCCAACGTCATTCTCTGGGCGCACTCCCCCGACAACTCGCACACTTCCCTCCCTGCTTCCCTCGCCCCCCCTGCGCCCTCCTCTCAGGTTTCAAAGGACAGCTGGTGATGTTGCGGCAGTGCCTCTGGCTCTCGATGCTTCTAACGTCATTCTCTGGGCGCACTCCCCCGACAACTCACAGACGCCTCTCTACCACGGGCCCCACCGGTATGACCCTCACTCCCAAACAAACGTACATGCAAGCATGCACCCACGCACACATGCACGCACGCGCACATGCACCCACGCACACATGCACCCACGCACACATGCACGCTTGCCCCCTTTTTGCATTCTCTAAGCGCACTCCCCCGACAACTCGCAGACGCCACTCCACCATGGCCCCCACCGGTATGACAGTGTGATCCTCATTGCCACGAGCACGAGCACTCGCACACAGGCGCGCGCACACACACACACACACACACACACACACACACACACACACACACACACACACACACTTCTCCTTTCATTCTCTGGGTGCACTCCCGTCCGCCGACAACTCGCACACGCCGCTCTCTCACGGACCCCACCGATGTGTATGCGCGTATTTGCAAGCACCTGCACACGAGCACACACACATACAAGCATGCGCACTCGGTTCTCGCCTCTTTGCCTTCCCTCTCCTATCCCACCGCCATGTGGTGCATTGCGTCAGGACTAGTCCTGTGCCTCTCCCCCTTGCCCCCTTCGCCGCCCCCCAGTGTTCTCATTCCTCTCACCACCCTTCCTGTCCTGTTTCGTGTGCCCCATCCCCGTTCCCCTCTTCTCCTATTCCCCTCTTCCCGTCTTGTCCTCTTCTCCTCTTCCCCTCTTCTCCTCTTCCCAGGGGCGCATTGCTCCTGGACTACTCCTGCGCCTCCCCCCCTAGCCGCCCCCCAGTGGCACCCCCAACACTGCGTGGCATTGCCTGTGACCCCTCTCCCCTGCCGGGATTCACCTGCTCACGGCAACTCCGAGGCACAGAGTGAGTAACTCTGCCGAGGCTCACGGCAACTCTCTCCTCTTTCCTGTCGTGCCGTTTTCGTACCGCTCAGAAGCACTTTGTCCCCCGCCCCCTGTGGGCCCCCCAACACTGCACGCCACGGCGTTGCCTGTGACCCCTCCCCCCTGCCGGGCTACACCTGCTTGCGCCAACCGCGAGGCACTGAGTGAGTAATGTTCTCTCTTTATAACTACATGCTTGAGTGCGTTCATAATGCTTCAGATATATCCCCCTCTTTGGGCCCCTGTGGTGGCGTGGCCCCCCTGAACACTACCTGGCATCGCCTGTGACCTTCTCCCTTGCCGGGCTACACCTGCTCGCGCCAACTCCGAGGCACTGAGTGAGTTCCACTCTTTCCTTTCCTTTCTACCTAAGGGATGCTTCAGTGCGTTCATAAGAAGCCCCCTCGCTGGCCCCCAGTGACCCCTCCCCGACACTGCTTGGCATTGCCTGTGACCCTTCTCCCCTGCCAATCCCCCCTCCCAGTTTCATCCTGCACAGGTGAGTCAACAAGGCCTCAATGGCCCTCGCAGCCAACTCAAACCACTCCACCACTCTCCACTCCTCTCCACCCCCCTCTCCCTCCCAGTTTCATCCTGCACAGGTGAGTCAACAAGGCCTCAATGGCCCTCGCAGCCAACTCAAACCACTCCACCACTCTCCACTCCTCTCCACCCTCCCTCACCCTCCCAGTTTCATCCTGCACTGGCGCACCAACAAGGCATCAATCGCCCTCGCAGCCAACAACTCCATCCCTCTCCACCCCTCTCCACCCTCCCAGTTTCATCCTGCACTGGCGGGTCAACAAGGCATCCATCTCTCTCGCAGCCGATGCAGCCACCACAGGCTGGGTGGCGCTCGGCTGGTCCTGCCTCAAACCCCTCCACCACTCTCCACCCCTCACCACCCCTGACCTACTCCAGTTTCATCCTGCACTGGCGGGTCAACAAGGCATCAGTCTCTCTCGCAGCCGATGCAGCCACCACAGGCTGGGTGGCACTCGGCTGGTCCCGCCTGGGCCGCATGGCTGGCAGCGATGCAGCCATAGGCAACCTGCCGTACGGGGCAACGGGCTTGGGCATGCCGGCAGTGGGGGCGTTCTCTATTGGTGGATACAGCAGAGAATCTATCAGCCTGTCTGAGTTGTTTCGAGCCGCCAAGAGCGGCACCACCACTGCCAATGGCAGAACTCTGATCTGGTACGCTGGGGATTGGTTTTTTCCTGGATCGATTTCGTGTGGTGAGCATTGAAATGGGCATGGGCACTGAGATGCACTGCCAGGGAACTTCTGCATCGGGAAAACTCTCAAACATCCCTCCTTGCCGCTATCCTCCTCCGTTCGCCCACCCTCCACTTCAGGTTCGAGTGCGTGTTTGGGGCAGGCATGAACCCCATGCACGAGAATGGGCTGGCGAACATCATATGGCTTGTGAGGCAAATCAAAAGCCGTACCATGTGTTGCCGTCTCCTACATGTGTTGCCTCTGTGATCCATCCTCCCTCCCTTCACCTATCCTCCTTCAGGTTCGAGCGTGTGTTTGGGGCGGGCATGAACCCCATGCACGAGAATGGCCTGGCCAACATCATATGGGCGTACGCGGGGGATGGGTCTCAGAACCTGGACTTCCACATGCAGAACCGGTGAGTGCGTTCATGCACATCATGAGCCATGGGCAACGTGTGACCTGCACGTGTCCTTGTGCATGCTCGTTTCTGGGGGAATTGGCTGGCTGGCTGGCCAACATCATATGGGCGTACGCAGGGGATGGGTCTCAGAACCTGGACTTCCACATGCAGAACCGGTCAGTGTGTGTGTGGCATCTGCATGTGTGATATTTGCATGTGCGGCTGTATGGGTGAATGTATGTTTATGGACATGAGATTAGTGAAAGAATGGGCTGGCCAACATCACATGGGCGTACATGGGAGATGGGTCTCAAAACCTGGATTTCCACATGCAGAACCGGTGAGTGCGTGCATGTGTGGCATGTGTACTGCGAACGTGTTTCCACACATGCATATACATGAATTTACACACACTCATGCATTTACAAGCACATACATAATAGCACATTCTCCGACTAAAGAAAATACTTGGATTGTGCAAAAAAACCTTATTCGCCCCTCGATTTCACTCACCCCTCTTTCTCCTCTTTCCACTTCCTCCCCTCTTCCTTCCTTCCCTCCCTCATTTCTTCACCTCTCGTTTTGCCTCACCTCTCTTTGCCACACTCCACCGCTCTGCACCTACCATTTCAGGGGCGCAACTGTCATCGACATCATAACAGGCGATTCCAAACACACCTCCCCTTCCTCCCCTTCCCCCCCACCTACTTCCTCCTCCCCATTGCCCTCCACCTCTCCTTCGACTCCCTCCCCATCCCCCTCCTCCTCCTCTTTCCCCCCTTCCTCCTCCTCCTCCACCCCCTCCTCCATCCCCTCCTCCTACTCCTCCTCCTCTTCCTCCCCCTCCTCCTCTGCGCTGATAGCCCACGCGGTCTTCCTCTCTCTCGCTTTCTTCCTCCTCATGCCCTCCGCAATCCTCATCGCCCGCCTCTTCCTCTCAGGCCCCCCGTCGCTCCCCTTCCTCCCCCACCACTCCTCCTCGCACGATCCTGATGCTTTGTCCGGTGGATCAGACCCATCTGAAATGGCATCAGGGCTAATCCAAAAGCAGCAGCAGCAGCAGCGGCAGCAGTATGATTCCGCCACCACCACCACCACCACCAACGCCCCCTCCTCTTCCTCCTCCTCCTCCTCCTTCCGTCCCGCCGCTCCTCCCGACGCCTCCCCTCCTCTCTCCCCGCCTCTCTCCCCAACCACCAGCGCATCCCTCCTGCAACCCCACCCCTTCCTCCCCTCTCTCTCCTTCCTCCCGAACCTCCAACTCCACGCCCTCTCCTATCACCAATACCTCAACCTCTCAGCCCTCCTCTGCTGCCTCCTCGGCTGCACGCTCGCGTTCGCAGCCGTCGGATCGGACGGCCTGGCCCAATCGCACGGTCAGATGGGCCTCGTCGTGCTCCTCCTCGTGCTGGTGCAGCCAGTATTAGGGTTCCTGCGGCCAGACAAGGGAGCTAGTAACAGGCTGTCGTGGCGGTTTGCGCATGGCCTGCTGGGGCTGGCAGTGCTGGGCATGGGGTGGGCCAACGCTTTTTCCGGCTTGAAGCTTTACGACATCATCTTTTTCTCGTCTGTTCAGGTCAGTGTTTAGGGCAGTGGGGGGGTGTAGAGGGTTGTAGTGGGTTGCAGAGGGTTGTTGAGGGTTGTAGTGGGGGTGTAGGGGTCTGTAGGTTTGCGCATGGGCTGCTGGGGCTGGCGGTGCTGGGCATGGGGTGGGCCAACGCTTTTTCCGGCTTGAAGCTTTACGGCATCATCTTTTTCTCGTCTGTTCAGGTCAGTGTTTAGGGCAGTGGGGGGCTGTGCACGGGTTTCTGGGGGTGTTGGGGTTTCTGGGGGTGTTGGGGTTTCTGGGGGTGTTGGAGTTTCTGGGGGTGTTGAGGTTTCTGCGGCCAGACAAGGGAGCTAGTAGCCGGCTGTCATGGCGGTTTGCGCATGGGCTGCTGGGGCTGGCAGTGCTGGGCATGGGGTGGGCTAATGCCTTCTCTGGGCTGAAACTCTACTCTATCATCTTCTTCTCGTCTGTCACGGTATGTGTGTAGAGGTTTGTAGGGGTTCGTAGGGGTTTGTAGGGGTTTGTAGGGGTTTCTGGGTTTGCTCATGGCCTGCTGGGGCTGGCAGTGGTGGGTATGGGGTGGATCAGGTGGATCACCTTTTCTTCACATTCTGCCTTTCCTTGTCAAAACCCCACTGTGCTTCACTCCTTGTCCAACCTCCCGCAAGCAGGTTCGGAAGACGTCTTAGAATTTGTTCCACCTTTCTTCAGTTACCATATGTGCTGCGCTCCCCCTGTTTCTGTGCTTCACTCCCCCTTGCCCAACCACTATCAAGAACAGGCTTGGAACATAATCTTTGGAATGACTGTAGCAGTGCTTGCTACAGCGTACCTCGGTATTGTTATGATGCAGTTCACACGGGGCCACTCGTCTAGAGCGCTCAGCTACCAAATAGAGCTGTAGTGCACTCTCTGTCTTGGTCGTACAGACTGACTGACAGTAACTTCATTATTATGAGGTCTTCATAATGCGTAGTTGTGCATGCTGTAGCAAACAGCACTCATAAAAGAATGTTACAGTGTGATTGTGCAGCAGCATGATCTCTTCAGCTTCGCTTGACTGCACTTGCTTAGGTACTGTACCCTTGCAAAACAGGTACATGTGATCACATGTAGTCATAAATCATCATATGTATTATGCATAATACCTTTGAAGTGTTCAGGTGGGTGTACACTTCATCAGGGGGTTAACAATTGTTGGCCAGAGGCCAACTTTTGCAGGCCTACCCAACCCTGGTCAACCCAAGTCAAACCTAGTCGAACCCCCAACTCCGCACGCACCATTCTCCCTCTAATCATGATCACCATCCCCATCCCCATGCACTCGTCCTCCCCACCCGATCTGCCCAGGGCCACCATTCGAAGCCTGAGCGCGGCTTAGCACGTTAGCAAGCGAACTAGCCGCCTCCTTGCTGTGCCACCACCATCCATCCCGCCTAATCACCATCCCCATCCTTCCCTTCCCTCCCCTTCGCCACCCCCAATCCGCCTGGGCCACCACCAGAAGCCGGAGCGGGACTTATGGTAGCAGCTGCTGATGATGATTAGAGGCAACACCTTCCCTGCTGTGCGGTGCCACCATCCATCCCTCTAATCGTCATCCCCATCCCCATCCCTTCCCCCTCCACCCCCACCCCGTCTGGGCCACCACGGGAAGGGGGAGCGGGACTTAGCAGGTGCCGTGCGGCAGGAGAAATCAACAGAGAGGCGACCACTGGAGGAAGGGGGGGGGAAATGGGGAAGAAGGAACAAACACGGGAAGTGGGGAGGCGAGACTTAGCAGGTGCTGTGCGGCAGGAGAAATCAACAGAGAGGCGACCACTAGGCGAGGGGGTGTAGAGCGGAGGGGAAGAGAGGGGTGGAATGGGAGAGAAGAGAGTTAGGGATGGAAACCGACGACAAATAAGCCCAGATGAGGCTGTTCGTCCCTGATAGCTCAAAGCTGGGGATTCATACTCACTATAAGCACACGAATTGGATCAGTTTAGGGTAAGACCACTCACAAGTTGTGTCCGTGCGACCCCAGTGTGTTGGATCCTGAGGAGGAATAAGCCCAGATGAGGCTGTTCTTCCCCATAAGGTCAATACTCATACTCGTTATAGGCGCACTCACTAGTTGCGTCCGTGCGAGCCCAGTGTGTTGGATCCCGAGGACGAGTAAGCCCATATAAGGCTGTTCTTCCCTGATAGCTTGAACTTATTTGACCATCCCGTGTTGTCCGTGCGCGTGAACCTGGGGGGGGGTGTGCGTGTGGGGGGGAGTGTGGGAGTGAGCGAGAAAGTGGCTGCGAGAATGTGTGGTAAGGGGATGAGACTGGACGAGGAGGAGTAAGCCCATATGAGGCTGTTCTTCCCCGATAGCTTGAACTCATTCGACCATCCCGTGTTGTCCGTGCGCGTGAACCTGGTGGGGATTGCAGCAGGGAGTGAGTGATAGAGTTATTGACAAAGAGAGTGTGAAGAGTGTTGTCTGCGCACGTGAACCTGGTGGGGGGGGAACACGGGAACGAGCGAGAGAGAAGCCGGGATGAGATTTCTTTTTCCCGATAGCTTGAACTCATTCGACCATCCTGTCTTGTCTGTGCGCGTGAACCTGGTGGGGGGGAGTGTAAAGAGGAGGGGCACGCACGCAGGTTTGCAGGTTCTTTCGCATGCGTTTTCTCCTGATACCCTGGCACCTTGTATGCATATATCTCCCCAGAAGCCTTCACTGCAAAAACCTCACTTCATACTCAGGGATGGCAAACCCACCTCATTATAATCAAGCCTCCATCGGTCTTGGTGCTAACACCGCTCCCAATGTCAAACCCACCTCGCGCCACTTGGTGCTTGCTTGACTCCCGATGTCAAACCCGTCGAGCGACAGCGAGTCACTCGAGTACCCCGGCACCTTGTACGCGTAGATCTCCCCGTTGTAAAGGAAAACATCAGAAGGGAGACCCCACAAGCCAACCCAGCCCAGACCGTGCCCAGGATCAGGAGGAGGATACACGCACCTCATAATAATCGACCCTCCCTCTGTCTTGGTGCTAGGACTGCTCCCGATGTCAAACCCGTCTCGCGACAGCGAGTCACTCGAGTAACCCAACACCTTGTACGCGTAGATCTCCCCACCGTAAAGGGAAGAAACTATGAAGCTAGGAGGCAACGCACCTCATGATGATCGATCCTCCTTCGGTTTTTGTGCTTGCTTGACTCCCGATGTCGAAGCCATCCCGCGAAAACGAGTCACTCGAGTACCCCGGCACCTTGTACGCGTAGATCTCCCCGTTGTAAAGGTTCCCAACAACTGCATCGGAGGGCACCATTCGGCCGCTGGGGCCGCTCCAGCCCAGGGAGATCCATCCGTCTTTGGCGGGACTTCCGGGCTTTGCTTCCACTGCCATTTCGACCTGCTTGCCTGCTGCTTCCTTCCAGTGCAGGAGGAGGCTGTAGGTGAGGGTGAGAAGGGTAGAGAGACAGTGGGGGAAGCGGGGGAAGGGGAAGAATGGAATGATATCCTTACATGTTATATTCAATAAAGGACCATTCGCTAATGGATCTTTAAAAACTCGACTTCTTGCAGTTTTGCCGGGGCGGGGAAGTGGAGGGGCGAGGGGCGGGAGGGGTATCATACAGGGCGGGCGAGGAGTGTAGGCACACATATCAGGTTCGTTAACATCACACCTCTCTTATAACACATTTCTCCTGCCGCCCTGCAAGCTCGTCTGGTACTGGTATCCTTGAGGAGGAAAGGCGGAAGGCGGGGATCACCCACCTAGGCACGCCTCAACCTCCTTACAATCACATTGAAGCAAGCAACAACTCAGTGTAATCACATAAAACATCAAAATATTTCACCTGCTGTCCTGCAGGCTGGTCTGGTACTGGTCAGAGTCGACTTCTTGCAGCTCTGCCCGGCCGCCGAGGTAGGGCGGGAGATGGGGTTCGGGGGAGGGGCGGGAGCAGCGTGTAGGCACACCTCACAACCACATGTGACCGAGTATCATCTCACCTGCTGCCCTGCAGGCTCGTCTGGTAGGTGTAGCCTTGCAGAGTCGACTTCTTGCAGGTCTGCCCGGGTGACAAGGAAGAAGGGAAGAGGTGGCATGGGCACCACCCCTCTATACGCACACCTCTCTGCTTCGTTACAATCACATCTCACCGTACCACGCCTCACCTGCTGCCCTGCAGGCTGGTCTGGTAGGTGTACCCTTGCAGCGTCGACTTCTTGCAGCCCTGCCTGGCCGCTGAGGTGGGGCGGGAGACGGGCGGGGGAGCAGAAGCGTCGCAGGAGAAATCAATCTGTGATGATCCTCTGGGGGGGAGAGAGGGGGCGGATGGGAAAGGGACAGGAGGAGGATTGCAGTCAGGACAGCAGCGGGCGGGGGAGCAGAAGCATCGCAGGAGAAATCAATCTGTGATGAGCCTCTGGAAGAGGAGAGGAGAGGTGGGGGCAGGGGAGAAGCGGGTGCGTGAGGAGGGGAGCAGGGAGAAGAGCGTCGCAGGAGAAATCAATCTGCGATGATCCTCTGGCAGAGGAGGGCGGGTGGAAGATGAGGAGGGGGGTGGAAGATGAGGAGGGGGGTGGAAGATGGGGGGAGGGTGGTGCGGGCGGGGCGGGGAAGATGGGGAGAAGGTGTTGGGAGGGTGGGACGGGGGGATGGGGAAGGAAGGACCGGAGCAACGAATCTGCAGCTGCTAAGCCCCAAACGGGTGTAGCTTGAGGTTCGGGACGCAGGTTCGGGATGCGGGTTTGGAAAGCAGGTTTGGGGAAACGTACTTATTGCTGTCGTGGGATCCGAGGACTCTGGTGCCGTCTGGTGCGTACGCCCACGTGATTATACCGAAGCCCTTTATACTGAAGGGCACGACTCCACCGTTGTTCTCAAAACGAGAGAACCTGGAAGGGGCAACAGAAATATGTTTTTTTGTTGTTGTTTTTATATTATAATTATTATTGATACACTACAACTACACTTGGCAAGGATACATGTTTAAGTTACGAGAGTACAGTAGACATTTATACACGTCTTCTCTTCGCTTGGACAGAAAGTACCACAAATCACTCACTTCATTATAACGGAGCTCTTGCTGCGCGACAGACTCGTCTTCCCCAGCTGAACATCATTCGTCCGCCGAACCGCGCTCGCGTCGTGCCCGGTCATGCTGTACGCGGCGACCGGCGCGCGCGGCTGATTGCCCACCACCGCGTCGCCGGGATACATGGCGCCGCTCTGCGACCAGCCCACGGAGAACCAGCCCTTCCCGGGTAGCGCCTGCGACGTCTGATTGTCGGGCGAAGAAGAGGCGACTCGCCGCGCCTCGACGGCCATTTGAAGCTCTGAGGTGTTTTTCGCGGGGATCCAGTGGATAGTGAGGCTGGGAGGGGGGGAGGGCCGGGGGGGGGGGAGGAAAAGGGGGTGGAGGAAAAGGGGGTGGAGGGGGGCAGGGTGTTGAGGGGCAAGGGGGGAATTTGGAGTCAGTAATGTAAGCTTGGACGTGTTTCTCGCGGGAATCCAATGGATGGTGAGGCTGGGGAAAGGGGGTGGAAGCGGGGGGGTGCTGGGATGGGGTTGGGGTTGGGGGGAAGGGGGGAATGGGGGTTGAGGGGCAAAGGGAGAACGCAGAGTCAGTTTTGTAAGCTCTGACGTGTTTTTGGCGGGGGTGCAGTGGATGGTGAGGGGAGTGGAGGGAGGGGGGAGGGCAAGGAGGGGTGAAGGGAAAGTGGAGGCGGAGTCAGTTTTCGAAGCTCCGAGGTGAGTTAGGCGGGGATTCAATGGATTGTGAGGCTGGAGCCGGGGAGGATCGGGGGATTGGGGGGAGGGAGGGTGCAGGGCTAGTGGGGGCAACAAAAAGAATTCGGTTTTCAAACCTTCGACGTGTTTCTTGCGGGAATTCAGTGAATGGTGAGGCTGAGGGGGGTTGCGAAGGGGTGAGAAGGGGGGGGCGAGAGGCGGAAGAGGGGGGAAGTGGTTGAGAAGGGGGGAGGGAAAAGGGATAGGAAGGATTCAGTTTCAAGCCGAGTGCGGGTAAAATTTCCACCCAGTGAAGGACAATAGGGAAGCCGGAACGACCGGATACGGCACATCTCAAAGCGGCCCACGGTGAATCTCCAACACCAGGTGCACTTGGTGCTGCAGGGTATTCCCGAGAATTCTCAAAAACACCCTGCAACATCAGGTGCACCTGGCGTGTTTCTGAAAATTGTTCCTCCTCTTACCCGTCAGTTAGCTGGAAGGACGACGTGTAGCCGGGAAGTGTGGAGTTTTGGCAGACGGACGGATACCCCCCAGACGAGCCGCCACCGGAGCTCCCAAGCTCTCACACTTACCCGTCAGAGAGTTGGTATGACGACACGTAGCCGGGTAGCGTGGAGTTTTGGCAGACGGACGGATACCCTTCGAAATCTGACCGAAGAAATCGCGAACTCGCTTCGAGATCCCAAGTTTGTAACAAGGCTCGCCGAGAAGAGAAATGCAGAAGCAGGGGATACAGATTGATTCCAACCCGTCACGGAACCCGTATTTCGGGCCTCCCCGAAACTCGTGTTACATTCTTACCCGTCAGTTAGCTGGAAAGACGACGTGTAGCCGGGAAGCGTGGAGTTTTGGCAGACGGACGGATACCCCTCGGAGGATCCACCGGAGCTCCACATTTTCGAAATCTGACTGAAGAAATCGCGAATGCTCTTCGATATCTGATCCGTAAATCCGGCGCCTTCCGCAGATCCCGCGAGCAGCAGCAGCAGTAGAAGTGGTAGCGCAATCAGCAGTATCGAAACGCGTGAGGACGCCATTATCGAGGATGGGCTACAAGCACTAGTCGCGACTCTTTTGCGGGAAATGGGTGGGGGAAAAGACTGCGACCACTTTTTCCTGTTGTCGAGATATACCTTGTGAAAGTGCAATAGCAGAGAACTATGAAAAGGAGTACCAAAGAATAGCCAATCTCTACTCCGACTTCAACGCAGTTAGAGGATACTGAAAGTCACTAACTATTGGGGATTACGCTGGGGCGGCGGCAGCTATTGAACAGCACGGCGCTAAGTGTGACGAAGACCCATACAACTGAGTTTCATCGTGGGTAGGAGCTGGGTCATCTGCTCAGAAATCTCGCCCCATCTGCACACACCACACGGGATTGAACGATAATGCTTCTTAGTACGGTCCATATGTTGTCTGAGACGTTTTGTTTAGATCTACCGTGGCTGAGAAGGGTTGTGAGGAGTCGGTTACTGAATTGACCTTCGCAGAAACTGGGACCTGGCTGGGCAACTGAAATTCGACCAAAGTTTCCGAGCCGCACATTGTGACCCACGCGCGGGGGATGGTAATTCTCGGATCGCCCTGGCTGTCCCGACTCGCGATCCCATCAGCGGGAACCAGCCGTAGAACGACAGAAACTGTCGCAGACTGTTTCGCTTGGCGTTGCTCGAAATTTGACGCTGTACTACCACTACTTCCACCGACCAGACGGGCTCGCACAACTGTTGCGCCAATAATTTGAGTCGTTCGTTGCCCCAAGCAGCAACTCGAGCAAAAACCAGTCGCTGACTTGGTCTATTGGCTATAAGATGGTGCGCTGTATGTTCAAAAAGCAAAACACAGTACACTCAGTAGCGTCGTAGTGTTATAACATTCACAAAAAAAGGTACACTCTAGTCATCAAGGCAAAAACACAGCCAACATGCTCCTGAAGAGGGATAACTACACCATCACGTCATACGACCAACCATCAAGCAAGCATACAACTATACGAGAGGATAGAACAAAAGGGCACCACATTTTGTTAAGCATGAAACTCCACTACAGAACTGCCCTGGATTGCATCTGAAACCCAGTGGATTCAGCAGCAGCGGCATTGGCAGCTTTCTTCCTCTTCACATCTCGTACGATAAGAGCACCATAAATAAAGGCGATGATGATAACAAGAATTCCAAACACGGCATATCCTCCCTGTGACACATCCACACAAGACACACGGGCGGGCCAGACACAAATATGTGATGGTGAATACATTGGCAACTTATTTAACGTGGACGTAATTACGAAGATTTTTTAGGTTTTGTGTAGCTTGGAATGAGGCAAAAAGGAAACTTACCACGACTCCGGCAGCGAACTTTTTACTGTAGAGAGTGAGCCCGAGGAAACAGTTGAACCAGCCAAACACCACTCCCACCACGCCCACCAACCAATGCACCATACGCCACCTCCCGCGCGTCCAACTGGGGTGACGCCATTGGCCGGCAGAGTCCGATGAATCAGACGACGACGCGCGGGTAGACGGGCGGAAGAAGACAACAAGAGGTTGGATAGCCACGAGGAGAACGAGGAGGAAAACACCGATCCAGGCGTGGGCATAATGGAAACCTTGGGACCCAGATGAGACAAACGCCGTGATGCACCCGACGCAGATGCAGACGAGCGCGGCCACTTGCAGGTACTTGTGCCATGTGAACCAGAACAATCCACGTGAGTCAGTTAACATCGAGTCATCAGCATGGGAAGAGGAAGAGGAGGAGGGGAACATGGAAGAGGAAGAAGAAGAGGAGGGATGGGAGTCTGTGCTGTTGGCGTCTGAGAGGTGGAGTGGGTTGGAAGAGTGAGAGGAGGGGGTTGCGAGGAAGAGACGTGCGATGAGGATTGCTGCTGGCATGAGGAGGAAGAAAGCGAGAGAGAGGAAGACCGAGTGGGCTATGAGAGCAGGGGATGAGGAGGGGGAGGAGCGTCCGGAGGAGAAGTCGATCGTGACGGACCCCCTGTGTGTTGAGGAAGGAGAAGAGAAGACAATAGAAGAGAAGGAAAGAGACTTGAGCGATGAGAGCAGGGGAGGAGGAGGGGGAGGAGCGCCCAGAAGAGAAGTCGATTGTGACTGATCCCCTGGGTGCGGAGGATAAGAGAAGAGAAGAGAAGCGGATGGGAGAGAGGAAACGGGAAGAGCGGGAAAGGGGTGGAGGAAAAAACGAGTGAGATGATTACAAAACGGCGCCACACAACACCGGACTGGAGACGATTTTTGAGGCGCCTAAACAATGAATACAAAACGGCGCCACACAACACCGGACTGGAGACGATTTTTGAGGCGCCTAAAAAATGAATACAAAACGGCGCCACACAACACCGGACTGGAGACGATTTTTGAGGCGCCTAAAAAATGAATACAAAACGGCGCCACACAACACCGGACTGGAGACGATTTTTGAGGCGCCTAAAAAATGAATACAAAACGGCGCCACACAACACCGGACTGGAGACGATTTTTGAGGCGCCTAAAAAATGAATACAAAACGGCGCCACACAACACCAGACTGGAAACTGAAGCATGCTTATAAAACATCAAGACCATGCAAAGACTGCATCATGAAATTAATAATTCCTCTTTTTCTTTCTAGTCTGGTGCGTTTTTGTGCTGTCGGACTTGTTAATTACATCATACGCTGCATATCATCCTGCATCACTTCCAGAACAATGCATGAAGGCACAGATGGCCTCAAATAATCGAATTTGATGTACACAGCGCAGCAAAGCGATGCAGGAAAGGATATATCTATCAATATATACGCATATATACGTGTATAGATATAAACACAGCAAACAAAGACTTATATGTTGTTTCCATGGAAAGCCAGCTCCTTCGAGTTGTCATGGGAGTAGGCCCAGATGATGGTGGCCTTCAAGTCGCCACTGAACCAGGTGCACTCACACAGACTACCCAGACCCCATAGCCCTCTCCCCCTCCCGCACTCACATGTTATCTCCATGGAAGGCGAGCTCCTGTGTGTTGTTACGAGAGTAGGCCCACAGGATTGTGGCCACCTCAATGGCGCCCAAGGTTATGTGGGACACACATGGCTCTAAACCCGCCTGGCCCTCTCCCCCTCCCGCACTCACATGTTATCTCCATGGAAAGCCAGCTCCTGTGTGTTGTCTCGAGAGTAGGCCCAGATGATGGTGGCCTTCAAGTTGCTACTGAATGGCATCTGGCCGGGCAGCAGGCCTCGCTCGAACCTGGAGAGAGAGGAGAGAAGGGCATTCGGAGAGGCGGAAGAAAGAGCGTAAGGATGGATGAAGGGCCTTGATGTCGATCAGAGTAGGCGCACAGGAGGGTGGCCTTCAAGTTGCTACTCAAGGGCATCTGACCCGGCAGCAGCCCTCGCTCAAACCTGGAAAGAGAGGAGAGAGGGACATGAAGAGGGGAGGGGGGGAAGAAGGAAGAACGGAATCATGGAACGGTGGTCTGTGTTTCATTTAAATAAAAGAGCAGGTCACCAGAGGAGGGTGGTGTTCAAGTTGTTATTGAATGGCATCTGGCCGAGAAGAAGCCAAAGGTTTGATGCCATTCAAGGTTTGATGGCCCCTGGGAAGAAGCTAGGTTTAAGCCATTAATTTAAAATCGCTCAAACCTAGGGAAGTGCAGGGGGGACGGTCGGGTGTGCCAATGGTTGAATCGATAGGTGGTGGGACAAGAACCTCACCCCACCCCACCCCGCCTTACCATCTTCACCGCTCCTCACCCCAACCCACCCCACTCCACCCTATCCAACCCAGCCGAACCCACCTTCACTGAACCGCTCACCTCATCACAGTTCGTCCATTTGACGAAGTCCCAACTGCATCGTTGACCAATTCAAACTGCCCGCTGGGTGCCACGTCAGCCTTGCTATACCCCGTCATCGTGTACGGCCCCACTGCCGCCCCGGTCTTTATGGTGCCACGTGGCAGGTTCCCAATGGCTGCCTCGCTGCCGGCCATCTTGCCGTCCTTGGACCAGCCGAGAGCCACCCAACCGGTGGTTGCCACGTCAGCAGCGAGGAGGATAGAGGAGTTGCGCAGATGCCAGTGCAGAACGAACCTGGGGGGAGGGGGATGTGTGTATGGAGGAATGGGATGGAGGAATGGGTGGGGAACGTGGAGGAATGGGGGCAGATTGAGTTAAAAGACGCAAGGGATGGACGGAGGATAGAGGAGTTGCGCAGATGCCAGTGCAGAACAAACCTGGGAGGAGGGGGATGGGCCGTTGAGGTAAGGGGAGCATGGATGAATGGGGAGCATGGAGGAATGGGGGGCATGGATGAATGGGGGGCATGGAGGAATGGGGGGCATGGATGAATGGGGGGCATGGATGAATGGGGGGCATGGATGAATGGGGGGCATGGATGAATGGGGGGCATGGATGAATGGGGGGCATGGATGAATGGGGGGCATGGATGAATGGGGGGCATGGATGAATGGGGAGCATGGAGGAATGGGGGGCATGGATGAATGGGGGGCATGGAGGAATGGGGGGCATGGATGAATGGGGGGCATGGATGAATGGGGGGCATGGATGAATGGGGGGCATGGATGAATGGGGGGCATGGATGAATGGGGGGCATGGATGAATGGGGGGCATGGATGAATGGGGGGCATGGATGAATGGGGGGCATGGATGAATGGGGGGCATGGATGAATGGGGGGCATGGATGAATGGGGGGCATGGATGAATGGGGGGCATGGATGAATGGGGGGCATGGATGAATGGGGGGCATGGATGAATGGGGGGCATGGATGAATGGGGGGCATGGATGAATGGGGGGCATGGATGAATGGGGGGCATGGATGAACGGACGGAGGGCATTGAGGAAGGGGGGGTCGTGGAGGATTGGAGGCAGAAGTATATAACTCTGAGTCACCGTGCAGGAAACTGCGGCGCAGACATCTGCTCAGGACTACACTGCTGTACCGCACTGTACCATAAAGTACAATTCTTTTACTTTGAAACACAGTGAACAACGCTGTACCACTCTGTAACATGACAATGACACTGCACATGTTTCCATGGAGCTGTAGCTGGGTGGGTAGGACGGTTGGCATGCCAGCTGAGACCTGTAGCGCGCTACAGCCGTGATGCTCTTGCTACAGCCGTGCTGCTCCTGCAACAGCTGCTCACCTGTCTCCCTGTAGCTGTAGCATGCAGCTGTAGCCAGGCAGGAAAGACAGCTGGCATGACAGCTACACCTCTGCTGCTACAGCTACCGATAGCATTGCTGCAGCAACTCACCTGTCGCCCTGCAGCTGTAGCATGCAGCTGTAGCCGGGCAGGTAAGAAGGCTTGCAGGCAAGCCGAGACCTGTAGCGCGCTACAGCCGCCAAGGTAGCGGCGTCAACAGCTGTAGCACAGGAGTAGTCCACACGGAGTGATCCCCTGTGGGTCAAGGCACGGGGGAAGGAGTGCGGATGAAAAACGAAAATAATTGTAAAAAAAAGGACCTGTAGCGCGCTACAGCCGCCAAGGTAGCTGCGTCGACAGCTGTAGCACAGGAGTAGTCGACATGTAGTGATCCCCTGTGGGTAGAGGGGCAGAAGGAGATAGTGGGGTTAAGCATGGTTAAAAGGAGCAAACTCTATGGAGCGTTACAGCCGCCAAGGTAGCTGCGTCAACAGCTGTAGCACAGGAGTAGTCAACACGTAGATATCCCCTGTGGGTAAAGGGCATGGGGGAAGGAGTACGAATTGAAAATAATGATGACAAAAGGACTTGTAGAGCGCTACAGCCGGCCTACTGGGGGCGTCGTCGACAGCTGTAGCACAGGAGTAGCCGACACATAGAGATCCCCTCTGTATGTAAAGGGGACGGGGGGGAAGGATTGCGGATGAAAAATGAAAGTAATGATGATAATAATAAGACTTGTAGCTCGCTACAACCACCCTGCTGGGGGCATCAGCGGCTGTAGCACAGGAGTAGTCCACACAGAGTAATCCTCTGTGAGTAGGGCGTGGCGAGGGGAAGGAGTTGAGGACGAAAACATTAGCTGGCGACCGTGGTATTCAAGGTGTCACGATGTGTAGGGAACGAATGGGGTGGGGATGGGAGAATGGAAGATTGTTATCGGAAAGCTATAAAGGGAACTCACTTGTGTTGCCCGTGGTATGCCAGCTGTCGCGATGCGTTGGGTGCGAAGGCCCATATCATGTGGTTCACAGCCATCGGCTGCACGGGCATGAACCCGTCTAGCTCCGCGCTGCGCGTGAACCTGAGAAAGAGAAAGCGAGAATGTCAGGAAGGGTGGGATGAGGGGAGGGATGAGTAAAGGCCCATATCATGTGGTTCACAGCCATTGGCTGCACCGGCATGAATCCGTCCAGCTCCGCGCTGCGCGTGAACCTGGAATGGGAGGAAAAAGGAGAAGGAAAGGTACGGAGAAGGGGTGGGGACAGGGCAGCAGCAGAGGGATGAGCAAAGGCCCAGATCAGATCATGTGGTTGACAGCCATTGGCTGCACGGGCATAAATCCATCTAGCTCTGCACTGCGGGTGAAGCTGGGAGGGGGAGGGAAAGAGGGTAGGAGAGGGGAGAGTACGGGGAAATAAGAGGGGACGGATGAGCAAAGGAGGGCCAAATCAGATCATGTGGTTGACGCCCAGAGGCTGCACGGGCATGCATCCAAATGTCCAACGGCACAAGTGCCCCTTATTTACCTTCTTTCCCACCCACACACCCTGCCACCTATCTACCCATCCACACATCCCCATGCTCACCTCATGATCGCACCTCCCTCCTTGCTCCTCGTCCAGTTCCACTCCCTCTCGTTGTAGTTCAGCCCGTTCGTCCGCTCCAGGCTAGTCAACTCATACCCCGTGATATAAAACGGCAGAACCGTTTCCGCGGGTAAACCACCCGGCGGAGCCGCCGAGGGTAAACCACCCGGCGTGCTCGCAGGGGCTACTGCAGCACCCCCGATAATAGCGTCCGAAGGGACCATATGGCCTTCCAGAGACCACCCCACGGAGATCCACCCTGCTGCGGCTGCTTCGCTGCCCGGCCTTGCCTCCACTGCCATTTGCATCAGCTGCGGGGAGAGGTGCGTCCAATGCAGGAGGAGGCTGGGGATTGGGAGGTGGGGAAGAGGAAAGAGAGGAAAGGAGACTGGTTGTGCCTTTTACTCTGCTGCGGCTGCTTCGCTGCCCGGACTTGCCTCCACAGCCATTTGCATCAGCTGCGGGGAGACGTGCACCCAATGCAGGAGGAGGCTGGGGGATGTGAGAACAGACAGGGGGAGGAGCGCGGAAAGAGAGGAAAGAAGAGAGGTTGTGCCTTATACTCTGACTGCTCCGACTGCTCCCCAGGACCGAAGGCATCATATGCCCTTCCAGAGACCACCCCACGGAAATCCACCCTGCTGCAGCGGCTTCGCTGCCCGGCCTTGCCTCCACGGCCATTTGCATCAGCTGCGGGGAGAGGTGCACCCAATGCAGGAGCAACCTGTATGATAGGAGGGAGGGAGGAAAGAGAGGCAAGAAAACAGCTTATGCCAATCACCCTTCTGCGTCTGCCCAGCTTCCCAGCCTTGCCTCCACGGCCATTTGCATCAGCTGAGGAGAGAGGTGCATCCAATGCAGGAGCAACCTGTATGATAGGAGTGGGCAAAGGAAACAGACGAAAGAAGACAGGTTGTGTCGTACGCTTTGCGGCTTCACTGCCTGGCCTTCCCTCCACGGCCATTTGCATCAGCTGCGGGGAGACGTGCATCCAATGCAGGAGGAGGCTGGGGGAAGGGGGAAAGAGAGGAAAGAGGGGCAAGGAGACAGATTGTGCCTTATACTCTGCTGCAGCGGCTTCGCTGCCTTGCCTTGCCTCCACGGCCATTTGCATCAGCTGCGGGGAGACGTGCATCCAATGCAGGAGGAGTCTGGGGGAAGCAGTGGGGAGTGGGGGAGCGGGAAGAGGGAGAGGGAGGAGGAAGGGACGGAGGACGGGAAGTGGTACGCACAGGTGCATTATCCATATCCACGGCAGCTGCAAAAACCGATTGAGAGAACGACAATATGTGCCGAAGAAAAATAAAATATTCATGGTAGTCAAGCTCTAAGGCGCACCCTTTGCCGTTAAGGTCGACGGAGTTGTTGTATCCCGGCAGTTTAGACGGCTGACAGGCAGCGACCGGCGTCAGCAATGTATCCAACTCATCATCCGACATTTGCGCTTGCTCCTCGTAAAACTCGTCATCCCCAGGCCCCAGCCAATCAGCGTTGTTCCCGCCATCCATTTCCGCGTAATCCGGCAGCGATCCCCACGGGCCCGAACCGTCGTCGTCCGTGAAATTTCCGTCCTGGTTCAGCCATTCCCGCTTCAGCCAATCGTCAGGGTCCGTTCCGCTTACGTCGGAAAAATCGTCCGCCGGATTTTCCCCGTTGGCAAAATAATCCGACGAGTTTCCGTTAGGGTAATCCGTTCCGTCAAGTGACGGATCGACCGTCTGCGTGTCGTTATTCGTGAATCCTAAGTCTGCTGACGTGCCAGTGGAGTTCAAACTGCTTGCTTGTGATTGGCCAGCAGCATGGGTCGTGAGACAAGCCAAGAAGAGCGCGACAAGCGTCAGATTCATAGCTTTCCGACGGTTGAAAACTCGAGGCCATTGTAAATCTCCCATACCGCTAAAACGTTGGCTTAACGACAGACACGGAATAAGTAGAACTCTCACGCGTGTGCGTTAACAGCTAGAAACTAGCGCATGAAATGAGAGCCGCACGTTTAACACGTCCGAAAAGCCGTGGAGAGCGCTGCAAGATTTTCGACAGTAACGGTTCTGTCTAAAGCAGCAGTCAAAAGGACGGCTTTATCTGAACCAGCAGCATACGAGGTACCGCAAGAAAGAATGGCTTTCTGTGAAGAAAGCTAGCATGGAAATTAGCGTGGAAAGAAAGAACGGCCTTCTGTGAAGAAAAATGCTAGCTTGGAACAGCCTTCCGTGAAAGAATCTGTGCTGGACAGAATATGACCGACCTCCGCGCTGTGATGCTCATGCGTTCTGCTCTGACCCAGACCTGCACAATCTCCTCTCTGAGACCCATTACCGGCATCCGTGAAACTTGTAGACTTCCAGTGTGACACGCCGCCCAGCAGTGAGGGGGTAGGGTACTGTAGCAAAAGTCAACGGGGAACAAGAGCAAGGTCGTGTGCAAAATAGCGGCTCTCTGGAGTTTCGTTGCTAAGTGTGGATCAGTTGTTGTGTTTGTGTGATGTAAGATTTCTGAGGTCCACTAGAATATGGCATGAGCTCGGGTTGAACCCAGGGATGCAAACAGGCCTGAAATTCCCCCCCATCTCTTCCCCAACACCGAATCCGTCGGCGCGTCTCCGAACCATGTACGCCTGACACAACCGTACCAAAAGTCAGGGAGGTTCGAGGCGCGGCAGAAACCTCAGTAGTAACAATAAACCCGTTAAGAAAAGCTACAGTGTGAATTAAGTTGAAATAGACGTACCTCAGGACTTCAATGTTTTAAATAGAAACGAATTGACCTAACATATTATGGCATTAAGGCTATTCGTACAACTAACGTACCACATCAATGGTAAGGGATTTCATCCTTCCCGTTTCCCTAACAGCATCCCAAATCAGCATTGTTTCCCTCCTGTTGCGCATCCCCCCCATGCAAGCCCTCGCGTACATTCTGACCGGGCAAGTCGCAAGCAACAGCAGGCAAAGGAAACAGCTTTTGCCGGCGGAGCCAAAGAAGTTCTTGGTTGGGGCCCTCAAAGGGCCTGGCTGAATTCCCACATGGCACATCCACCTGGATAAGATCCTGCTGCTGGAGCATCAGCAGAGTGTTGGTGTCTTGTTGGGTAAATTCCCCTCCGTGGTACACTCTCCAGCCTGAGGGGAGGGAATAAGAGAGGGAGGCTTCATGAGTGGAGAGCGTGGAAACGACAGGACTACGACGAGGTGACACTGAGACAAGAGAGAGGATATACAAAAGGTCGAGAATAATCATAGTGAGGCTGATATGGTATGGATGTAGCGTGTGTGTTTGAAGACCACGTGTGCCTGAGAATCGTTCGTACCATGCATACATGCATGTGTAAGCAGCAGCCCACTTGCAGCTCCAAGCTGCATGACACTACTATGCCAAGTGGGGTATGGGATACAATGCGTGTGAAAAAAGACCATATTGTGTGTGAGTAAAACTATGTGTGAACAGTAGCTCACTTGCATCAATGGCCGTCAATAGCTGCTGGTGCAGCTCCAAGCTGCTCGACGCCACGATCCCTCTATCGAGCGAGCTCAAAAAACGGCCTTTAGTGAAATCCAAAGGCTTGCCGCCCGCATCAGTCACAACGCCGCCTGCCTCCTCCACAATCACCACCCCTGCAGCATGATCCCAGACCTTCTCCTGGTAACCGTTACGCGCGAATTTCATAAAAATGTCCGCGTCGCCGCGGGCTATAGCAGCGTACTTTGCCATGCTGTACACGCGGAGAGGAGCGTTACTGAAAGGTATAACAAGGGTTGTACAGGGGTGGGCAGAGAGAAAGAGACCAAGGACTTGTCAGGGTAGATGAGCAAGCATGGGGCTATGGCAGCGTACTTTGCCATACTGTACACGCGGAGAGGAGCGTTACTGTCAGACAGACATGACGGGGGAAGCATGTTGGACACACGCACAGGTATATCAGAGAATGCAAATACGCGTGGGGATGTAGCAGCGTACGCTGCCAAATCAAATTATAATTCACAAAACTAGGGGTACCAAGGGACATGGCATACGCTGCACGTGACATGTTACCATACCTAGGCACATGGCATGTTACCGTACCAAGGCGCATGGCATGTTACCGTACCAAGGCGCATGGCATGTTACCGTACCTGATTCCCAGGAGGTCCGCCAGGCCTGCCGTGAACGTCTGGTTCGAGTTCGCCTTCTCAACCGGCTCGCAGAAAGTCGCGCGGCACGGCTCGCACACTTCGGACACGTGGATGCGAGCCACGTGGCTGTTGGAGGCGCTCGTCGCGCTCCAATCAGGATCCAGCTTCGTGCGGCGACTGCTGCCACCGCTGCTGCCACCGTTGCTGCCGCTAGGGGGAGCCTTCGCGGCGGCTATTGCTGCGGGATTGCCTCCTACGAGCGGCTCGACGAAGGCGCCATGACCCCGGAGCGCTTTCAGCACCACTCCTTCTCGCCAATCGCGGGATGGGAAAAGTTTTGATGTTATCCGGTGAAAGCGGTGCGGATGTCGTAGCCACCCCGGCCTGACCGGGAAATTTGGGCAGCCTAAGACACCGAGTTTTAAGCTGCCCGAATCTAGCAACGCCAGAGCGACTGCGTATTGATCGTCCCGAACGAATCCAAGTGTGCCGTCCACCGGATCTAGTATCCAATGCCGCCCAACCGCGCCGCCTTCTGACGAACCGCGATTAATCAACTCCAGCACCTCTGGTGCCTCAAGCGGGCGCTCCGGCGGCTCAATACCGACCAAACGCGCCTCAGCAAGGCACTCGTTAACTACGCCGACGAGCCGCGAGAGAATCGCGCTTCCCGCGTCGTTCGTCAGCTGCTTCGTATCTTCCTCCGCAATCATAGATACCACCTCCCCCGGATAAGCCTGCTTCAGGACCCAGCTAACAACCGCCTGAACCCCCCAGTCTGCTACAGTAACGTACGACCTGTCCGGCTTGGACCGCGTTACATCTTCCGCCTCGCGCCGCAGCTGCGCCTGAACCTTCTTCGTGAGACGACACGAGAGTTGAACCGCCCGTTCGGCAACCGACAGATCGTAACTCCCCTCCGCCGCTTCTTCCGAATCTTTCGGCTTCGAAAATCCGTCGCGAAGTGCAGAGGCTCGTTCGTCAATCGACGGTCGTCGAAGCGCCTCGTCACGCAGTTCAGCATGCCGCGATGCGGCGGTTTCGAAAGCTTCCAAGAAATCCGGGTCCTCAAACGGGAAGTACGGCGACTGGAGATTCGGAAACGCGATAGTAGGCGACGAGGAAGAGGAGGGAGAGGAGGCGGTTCGGTTCGGCGTCGACGTTCGTAACGTAGCGCTGCGGCTCCCTGTCGCGACGGCTCCCGCCGTTACATTTGGCCCACCGCCGGAAGCGGTGCTTGTCGAGACAGCAGACGCTGCCGGGGAAGATGAAGAAGCGGCGCCAGTAGATGCGCCGGCAGATCCGCCGGCAGATGCGGCGGTAGATGGGGCGGGAGTAGTCGGCTTGTGAAGCATTGTCACTCGGCCCCGCATTGACACGTGCTGTGTTGTTGCTTCGAGAAGTGGCTTTGGAACGGGGAAGGAAGGGACCGTATGTGAATGCGACACGGGTTGGAGTATCAAGGAAGACAGGAACGTGGAGTGGGAAATCAGATCCATGTCGCGGCGGGATGAGCAGACTGGCGTTTGCAAAATAGATGGCCTCGTGGAAAAACAGCCGCAATTCACGGCCTGAGGCCTGGATGGTAATTCATGCGGCCTGCCACTGGGAAATGAATGAGGGGTTGATGCTGCTAGGCTGGCGCAGTTGATGCACGTTACTGGGTGGTGCAGGAGGTCCGCCATTGAAAACACTTAAAAAATATTGCGGCTTTAAGAATAAAGACGTCTAAATCTTGCGGCTTGGACAAAATTGATGAGAGGTCGCACTCGTCCCTCTACCGTGAGGGGAAAACAAATGAAGTAGACTTGACTTAGCGGTGGTGATTCGCGAGACGTGAAAGTTTGTTTCGACTGGAAAAAGGAAAACGGGGGGAAGGAAAATCGAGGAGCCACAAGGTGTACTTTTTACAGCAAGCGTATTCAGGAGAATACGGCAGACTAATCCGAGCTACAAGGCTGATCGAGACTCATTGCAGAGCCAAAGATCGGCCCAGGGCTTTAAGATGAGACGTGCTATCTGCGCATGGTGAACTGACTCGCTCTAGCTATGGCTGATTGAAGCTGTTTACTTCCAGGGAAAGCTCGTCTTGAACTTCGAAGGGTTGTAAGTTGTGTGGCAGGCAATAATGGTCTCAGGCCTCAGCTGGCACAATCTATTTGAGAGCCTAGATAATTCTCCAGACAAACGAAAACGTGAGTCAAGGGAACACGAGAGGAAGAGCACACGGAAAGGTGAGGGTATGCGAGCGGAGGGGACGGATGAGTTCATCTCGAGGAGAGAGAAGGGAGAGGAGAGGAGCGGTGGCGGGTTGGCAGGGAAAAAGTTCACGGGTTTTTGAAATTGCTGGAAGGGATCGAGTCACGGTTTCGGGACAGGGGGGGATTCAGGTGTGATGGGAGGGATGTGTTGTGTGAGTGAAGGGGGTGTTCTTGTAGATTACAGGAGAAACTGTACGCGGCTCGCAGGTAGAACCCTATGGAGATGTCATGTAACACGCAATGAAATCCACACTCGATGCCTCCGTTCGGTGCCGTGCGGCTGGTGGGTGCGCGGAAAGACATTGGGGTCGTTTCACACGCCTCCAGTTCGGTTTCAATTTGTCCATCCAGTTGAACCAATGTCAAGATGAGACACATCCCAACCGTCAAATTGACACACATCCCAAGGTTGATCAGATCAAACAGCTTCTCTCTGAACTGAAGTCTCGAGGCCCAGAAACGCGTTGTGCAAATGGGCGCAGGTGTACAGAGCTGTACTGTACTGTATTGTACTGTACGCAGACAGCTGACTTCCACCTCGCGCCGCCGCCAATCTCGTGGTTTCACTTTCCCGTGTGCGCTGGAACTGATGGCGTGTGATAAAGAGACATGTGGCACATGGACTCCACGCACAAGATTCCCTCAAGCGGGATATGCTGTGAAAGCATTTAGGTACGCGTACTCACCCTTCTTACCGCTGAATAAAAAACTCTGCCTCCTGAAAGATATCCCAGCGATACTCAACCTTTTGCAAATTATCAATGTTCTCCAGACCATGTCTCCAATTATCATGTCAGTAGGGTATTTCGAAATAGATAACAGAAAGTCGTGCATGTGGATTTCAGCGCAAACGTGTGGTTGTTAGAGCGTGTTACACCCAAGCAAAGATTGCTGCATTTTGAGGATCACGTAGGCGATCCTTACAGAACAGTGTCATACCTACCACTGTACAGTAATCACTGTGTCAGGTGATGTACCAACAGAGGAAGGATCGAAATCACGAGAGATCGTGATACCCGATCTTGGTGTTTTTTGGGAGATCGTGGTGACTGCCAATCTCTCGGTGATCCTTGCATCTTTGTACCAAAGACAAGGTGATCCTTGATGACGAAACTTTTGTTGTCGTGAACTGCTGTAACAAAATCGCGACTAATCAGAGCATTCTTTTGATGAAGTTCGAACCAATAAAGCGGTTGATTTCGGATCAGTAACGCAGTCAACGTGGTCAACAAAAATATCCGACGATCGCGACTGTCGCGTCGTTTCAGGCGACGTCGCCTGGTCGCAGAGGATCACCATTGCAAATTTGCAGATGGTACACCAACAAGGATTGTGATGTGCACCAAAAATTGTTGTTTTGCCACTCGTAATCCTAGGGTTGGGGTTATGGTGATCTTAGCTACGTGATCCTTGAGATTAGGGCAGGTGTAACACGCTCTTAGGAGGTTTGATCGTTCAAACGGAGTCGACGGCTTCATCCGCCGCAAACGTTCGACTTTCCTTTTGGCTCATCCGCCGCAATCTGCGCAATAACGTGGCACAGATGATCTCCAAAGGTGCTGGCGGGGTCCGTGGAATTATCGGGCGACACGTGTGCTCCAACCTGTCCGGAAAAGCCCGTCGGCGAAATCTCAACCTCCTGGCAAGTCTCTGCTGTTCGCTAGCACCTCCCGTCATTGGCCGGCTGTCATTCGTCTCGGTTCAAGCCGCGAAAAGCCAGTATGGGTCAACCAGTCTATTCTGTGGAACACACCTGACAGACACCACCGTTAGCCACGTCCACGCAAAACACGATGTGGTACACTGCTCCACAAATAGCGAGATAGATGTTACCAATAATAAATTATTAACCATCAGTTCACATTGCATACATAAAATGCCTTGGCCTCCCCACATTCCCTAACCCCCAATAAATCACCCTTTCTGAGCTACACAAATCGAAAATAAATCATATGCCAGAAGCACAAACAGATGCCACGGCCAAACAGTTACACATCCTTCACAGATGCGCGGAACGAGCGGCACGACTTCACAGCCTCATTCGCAGTGAGGAAGAGCCACTCCTCGCCAATAGTCTCGAGGACGCCCGAGACGGCCAGCTTGCGAAGAACCATCTTGGAGGGGTTGCTGATGCCGAGCTGGACGTTGTTCTTAGAGAGGATGGAGTGAAGCTCCTCCAGAGAAGTGGTGCCAGAAGAGTCAATGTCAGGCACTGGGGTGAAGTCCAGGATGAAATGCTGGTGGGGGAAAAAGAAGCATAACAAAAAGCTAGGTTAGAATCAACAGCACAAGCACAATCGTAAGGGGTCTCCCCCTGGGAACCAGTGCCTAAGGAGTGAATGTCTAGCACAGCATTAAAGCACTAGTGAATGACAGGAGAAAGCCATGGGGATGCAGTCCAAAAAACATCAGCAGCATATCAACTCACAGTGATCTTGACGTCATGGCTGAAGTCATGCTCCTCAATCAGACTCAGCAACTTCTCATTACAAGGAATCCTTGTGTCACTCAAAGAATCCTTGCGAGCTCTCAAACCCTTCACTCAGTTTGACCCTGCAAATGTGAAAGGTCTGAAAGCTGGCAACTCACAGTGATCTTGACGTCATGGCTGAAGTCATGCTCCTCAATCAGACTCAGCGACTTCTCCCGGATGTAGTTTGCATTCGGGAAATACACCGGGCCGTCCACACGCAGCACGTACACTCCCTCCTCGACAATAGCACCATCGTACTGCTTAATGTTGCGGTACACTCCAGTACCCGGTACAAGGCCGAGAGTGGAGAGCGGTGGCCTGGTGACCTGAACGATGAGCTTCAGGGTTCCCGCAACGACGCCGACCAGGAGACCGGTTTCCACCGAGTCGAAGAGAATGCCGAGGAAGGTTCCGAGAAGGATCAGGAAGTCAAGCTTGTCGGTCTTGAAAATCTTGATCGCGCCAGGAATGTCAATCTGTATAGAGAGGTGATGGAAACAAAGGGTAAGACAACAGAAGCCATGCCTGCTACAGAGAATAACAAGCTGTGACGCACTGCAGAGAGCAAACACGGGATAACTTGTATCAATGCTTACCAGCCCCAGCACAGCAACAATAATGATGGCTGAAAGGACAGCCTGCAACAATAAGCAAAGAAAGAACAAAAAATTAGCTGTGATGATTCAGCAAGGAGGTGATGACAATGGAAAACACAATCTTGGGAAGCTTCTTGAAAAGGGACGTGATCCAATCCAAATGACATGACGATGTTTGTCGGAAAGGAATGGTGGATCCGAGACAGCGCACTCACGCTGGGAAGGTACTGGAAAACGGGGGTGATCCAAAGGAGGGTGACGAGGACGACAAGGGACATGACGATGTTGGTGAGCATGGTGGAGCCACCGGCGTTGTAGTTGACAGCCGATCGCGAGAAGGAACCTAGAATGTCGGGAGAAAGGGTGTGGATAGGAGAGGAAGAAAGCAATGAGATGAACAACCCGCGGAAACGCTTGAGGGGAGCGGATGAATGCGAAAGCAACATGAAACGAAGTAACGAAAGAAGTGATGCAAAGGTATTGAATGTACACATAAATTTATTAGTAACAACGGGACTGTACCAGTGGTGACATAGCTGGAGGAGAAGGAGCCAACAATGTTCATCGAGCCAAGGGCAATCATCTGATGTTACGAAACGCCATAACAAACACGGAAACACATGATTTTGCAAATTAGTCAAGAAATCATGATGTGGAAGACGGAAGCAATAGCTGGAAAACGGATGCCGATTAGACGAAAAGGTGTCATGATGCGGAAGACGGAACTAGTACCTTCACACCAAAGCCATACAAAAGTAAATTTCTCCTGCCTTTTTCCAAGGCAAAAATCAAAGATTGTGAAAGCTCTCTCTGCACAAGCGGGCGGCCAATCAACTCCATTTGACGCGCATATCATTACAACCCTAAACAGCGCCATACCTCCTTGTTGCCATCGACGTGGTATCCTTCCAGCGACGCGAAGGTACGCGCGATGGCAGACGCTTCCTGCAATGGCATGGCCGAAAGGATACACAGAACCCGAACGAAACGTATTGTTGAGCTGTTACGCATAGACAGAATTTCTC